TGTTCATGCGGCTCCATGGACCCCAACAACCACAAGGAAAACTTATCCAAACATCGGCAGGCTTGCAGTATGCTATTAAAAGGAGAAGCTTTCTGCGATCATCATGTTTGTTCAGGTCTTGTCCATGGTCGAGGCCGATACGAATGCACGAAGTTTGGCACTGGTGTTCAGTCCGGTCGGACAGTGGTGCTTTGCCGGTGAACACTTCGATCAGCGACACTGTCTCATGCAGTTTGTGGGCTTGGGGACCTAGCCAATCACTTAACTCTTCAAGGATGACGTTGGGATCTCCTAACAAACGTGTCATGAGAAACTGTGCATAGGTGTGCCTAAGCTTTTGGATATTGTTTTTCAACTTTTCTAGATCTTCAGGGTCTATGTTCTTATTGGGCAGGTTGCTCCAATCCACATCTTCCCCATAAAGTACTTCGGTATCGACCCCTACTTGATCATCATTTTGGAGGTTCAAATCCTCGCCCTCTGAATCACACTCCCTGCAGCAGAAACAGTGGTGATCATGGTGCGCATCACCTGAGGAGCTTTGATGATCCTCAGTGGAACCTAGGGCTACGTAGGCAAACAGGCTTACGTTCACTTGACTGACAGGACGGCGGACAGGTCCTGCATTTCGTGTGCTCCATGGTTCAACATGAAAAACCCCATCATCAGTAAGGGAAGCTACGGATCTTTCATATGACATGACATCCGCATCAGTGGGCATACGTTCAAGTCTGGGGCGGTATGCAACAAATGCATGGCTGATGTCATGGGCTTTCTTACCAAAAATCATCACCAGTTCCGACTTGAATCTATCCACATTAACTATCCCCCTACGAGTATTCTTCACAACATGTTGAAGGGTTTTGCGCCTATCACTCACAGTTACCCGACCTTTATTGGGTGGCTTCTGACAACCCTGGTCCTGGAAGTGCGAAGGGCAATGCGAATGCTCAGGGCTCTGATTGGTATTGGGCTCATTGGTCTCTACGAGGTGCTCGGCATGGGCACACTCTTCATTGGTTGCAAACTCAGGCTGCTGAACCATCAACGGCAGGAGCAAATGACCATTGGATGCTTGTCGAAGGGGTGCATCAAACAGTTCATGCTTTTCTGAAGTGATGGTGAGCTTTCCCAGGTCTAATCTAGCTTGCATACCCTCCAAAACTCGGCGAGACAAAAGGAAAGGTGCAGCACCTGGAATGACATAAGTGGTGATAGTTCCCCACAAACTTCCCAGCTTTACAGTCCACTTCAAACCATCAGTGGAAACCTCACGGTTCCCGTTGAAGCCCTTCAACTCCACGGGCGGCAGCTGACAGGAAATGGGGGCAGGCCAATGTAGAGACTGCATGTATTGGCTATATCGTTCAGCAGTTTCAGAACCAACAATTGATGTCGTACAGCCTGTGTCAATAATTGCAAAACCATCAGGAACAGAAGTCAACCAGATTTCTTCAGTCAAACTCCGTGAAGACACCATGTAGGAAAACTGCTCACCAACCACCGAAGAAGTGGTGAGATTAGCTTCCTCACGCTTTCCAGAGAATCGTGAATCAGGCTTCTTCTTGGGGGCAGATTTCCCAGAAGGTTTACGGTCATACCCAAAGTTTTGCTTGACTACAGGAGCTTGGCTGGAGGAGGCATTTTCTCCAGACTGATTCAAGGCTACCACAGGCAGGTATGGTGTTCGGCTCTTCTTGATCTCCCGAACCTTCTTACGACTTTCTTTGTAGGTCTTGAAATTCTTTCGGAACTCTCTCTTGGCCTTTTTCTGAACTTCATAGATCTCTTGTAACTCTTCATTTGTGCTATCACCAGCGTCTTGCTCAACAGCTAAGGCATCATCAGATTCGGACTCCAAGTCATCTTCAGGATTCATGATGTCTGAAGAGGAGTCATGATCATCTGCAACCAGAACTTGTTGTTCAGCCTGAACAGCATAGGCATCTTTTCTGGCATGCTTGAGGGGCTTTCGTTCCTCTCGTCTGCGATCGTCAGAACGGAATTCTTCTAAGTCAGAGGCTCGAACAATGCGTTCGACATCTTCCAGTCTTGATGATCCATTTGTAGAACGAATGATGTGAGCTCGTTGCTCACGATTCAACCCAAACTTACGCATGAATAAATGACCCAGAATTGCTTGAGGAAAAATAGGCTTTGGCTTCAAATGTCCATGTTCCAGGGATCCAAGCATCTCCATCATGCGACGATTGTCACGCTCTTGGTCAGACTTGTGAGTTCCACGAGACAATTGGGAAGCTCGTGAACCCTTTGACGCATGTGAAGCTCTCTCACGCTTGGAACCAGCAGAAGAAGGAGGCTTTGAACGCCCAGTTTGAGCACTATGCTCAGCTTCATCGGTCGAATGACCAGCAGCTGCAGCCGATGCTGTGGCGCCAGCAGGGGCTGCTTCTTCCTCAGTAGCAGGCTCAGCTTGTTCAGGATCTTTGGGATCCTCAGATTTATCTGATTCTTCCAGACTGCTCGATGGTTGCTCAGGCATGTCAACATCTGTGGCATCTCGCTTTTTGCGACCACGCTTGGGCTTTTTGCGGGTGCGATGCATCTCACGCTCTTGAGCTATCAGTGTTTGGACACGATCTAACTGAGTGCGAAATCTTGAACTGAAAGAAGTTGCTCCTTCTCCAGGCCTACGTTTCATAGAAAACAAGAACTCCTCCACTGCTTCATGGAGCTCTGTTTCAGGCAGAAAACGGTAGTGGAGGTCAAGGGCATGAATCACTTCTAACCATCCATTCTGTTTTCGCAAATCAGCAATCTTCAGATGTTCCGTCGCTCTCCATGCTTCGCCTTGCAAACGTTGCAAAAGGCGAGGCCCAGCTAGGTGTGCATGGCGATTTTCCAGTCCAGCAACTGCAAGAATGGTTTTGCGGCGAAAATCTCTGTATCCAGAAGGCTTACCATCGAATTGCAAATCTCTGAAGGTATCTTTGGATTCCATCTCAAATCACACTGTGGAAACTGTTGTATTGCACTGTTGTATTTGTAGGTTGCAAGTGTAGCTAACGCAGTTGTGTGTGGAACTTGCGGTCAGGATAGACCTCTAAGCAAATGCTCAGCTTACTGCAAAGTGCAGTCACACGGGTCAGATGACCCCAACCACCTGGATCACTCGAGGTGCACAGAAGCTACCTGAGGTAGCTCCGCTACCATGCGAAGCTGGTAGCACAAGGGATCTATCCAATGGGATCAACAGCACAGCACAAATCCGGTTAGCCGCAAGGCTCACGCATCCATTGCTTTTTCCATCCGACACGCCTCGAATTGGCGTCAAGGGCCCTTGGGCAAAGGATCGCGGATACACATCCACAAGTGGTGGTTATGGACCTGGCAGGTAAGACATGTGAGACATGTATGAATCACCCACTTTCACAATATATATATATAGATAGATAGATAACCCAGGCAAACCCGAAGTTCACGAAGCATACATGACGTGAGCAAGTTCACAGGGACGTTAACATTCCCTCCTCACCCCAACCAAACCCCGAAGTTCACGAAGCATACATGACGTGAGCAAGTTCACAGGGACGTTAACATTCCCTCCTCACCCCACCCAAACCCCGAAGTTCACGAAGCATACATGACGTGAGCAAGTTCAAGTTCACAGGGACTTTAACATCCCCGCCTCACCCACCCAAACCCCGAAGTTCACGAAGCATACATGACGTGAGCAAGTTCACAGGGACGTTAACATCCCCCACCCCGCCCCACCCAAACCCTCAAGTTCACGAAGCATACATGACGTGAGCAAGTTCACAGGGACGTTAACATCCCCCCCACCCCAAACCCTAAAAAAGCAAAAAAAGGGGTTTCGTGACCAGTTGCCTGGGGGCGGCGTTGGGTGTAACAATACATACATATATTATATATATATACACACATATATACACATATTGGATAGACCTGAAGTAGATATAAATTCTACATCGTTGTACTGTGTTAGACCGCCCGTTTCAAACCTGGCGGTTTAACCCGTTGCCCGAAAGGAACGGATCTAATGCTTTGCGTAAGGTCAGTCTGTATCAGAGGAATTATTTGGTTAACCGGGTCATCATGTCGAACAGAATGGAACACGTCTCAAAACAAGAAAGACACAGATACAGTAGATATGAACGCAATGATTATTGTTAATTATACATTATAGAATGATACACATATAATATTATATAATCACAACAATAACGATAACAATAACAACAATAGTAATAATTATATATGATATATAATGATAATCATCAGAACAAAGAACTGAAATCTCAGGAGGGGGAATATGTGAGGGAACAAATGGTAACAATGGGAGCCTGAGAACTTGGTGGTATCTTTTGAACACGATGTTTTCATCATTTTTTACCCACTTTTCCAGCTGAAAAATCCCTCCCTATGCAGTGCGGTTTTCTTCCCACCACCAAAATAAAACAGTGATGGACCCCTGTTAGTTGTATCCAATCATTGTCAGGTTGTCTGAAGGGTCAACTTCTATACCAGTTCTAGAAATGGGATAAATTAAGCTCAATCAGCTAACTATAACATATAACATCATATAACTTGGGTCAATTCGGCTACATCCCTGTTACAGTACACATTTCATCACCAGGGAATTGTGTCAAATCCACCCATATTCACATTCAAACTCCAACTGGTTTTTTGGGTCGAAATTGGCACACGACCCTGGGACCCAGAATATTGATCATTTGGGTCTGTCTGGAAATATGGTCTACCCCAAAATTAGTTACTTATATAAATAGGGAAAATGATGATTCACCAAAAGATTTAGGGTGATTTAGGGGTAGCCTATTTCCAAACAAACCCATTTGTTGGTATTAAACGATCATTTCCCCTGCCAGTAATGATCTGGCAATAACTTTGGGAATACTATTAACTATATCCAAAAATGACCATTTCCTTTGGTAATAGTTTTAACATGTTTTAACACTGCCAGCCAGGCCCAGTGAAAGAGAATGAAAGAGATCAGTAGCCGTCAGGGTCACAACTCTTGGCGGCGTTCACGGGATGTAGGACCTCAATGGTTCTTCCAAAAAGCCCCATCAACATGGAAAATCCCCAATCAATTTGGGGGTGTTAATCTTACTGGTGCTAAACGTAGGGAATGGATGGGTTGCTGGGGGTTGCTGGGATTATTGATAGTTAGCCAGTGGATCATTCCCTCAAATTCCCTATGTAAAACGCACAAGTAAGTAATACGAACATCATGTATAACTGGGGGATTGCCCCCCAAACGCCAGGTTTTTTTTGTGAAAAATACCACCTGAACCGAAGAACTGTGATCGATTCGCGAGTCGAACTTGTGAAGCGCCACAGCTAGCGGCCGTCCATAGCACATGGGAACAGCCAGCATAGGTGGATATTGCTGGAATATGGTGGAAGATATGTTTATTTTTGTTGGGGGACGCCGATGGGACCATTCCCATTAGCCTCACACTCCCACTTCAGAAAGCCCAATAGTATATGGAAAACTTATAGCTGGTTGGTGGTGCAATAACCATCTTGAAAAAGGGTGTGAAATAGTTTTAGGAATTTTGTTTGGAATTTTTTTTGGAACAGGTTTGGGATTTTTTTTTGGATTTCTTGGCTGGTACCATTTGCCTAGTGTTTGCAACGGTTTGGAACTTGAATTTGTCATTTTGCATGGTATTTGCCACATTTGGGCATGTTCACCTTCCATTTTGCATGGGATCTACTACATGTGGGCATGTTCACCTTCCATTTTGTATGGTATTTGCCACATTTTGGCGTGTTCACCTTCCATTTTGCATGGGATTTCCTACATGTGGGCATGTTCACCTTCCATTTTGTATGGTATTTGCCACATTTTGGCATGTTCACCTTCCATTTTGCATGGGATGTTCTACATGTGAGCATGTTCACCCAAATATTTACAGATGCGGAAGCTAGGGATTAGATAAAAAGCGGGTGGGGGGGGATTGAGGGAGGGCGCTAGCTATCTATCCAGCTAGCTAGCTATCTAGCTATCTAGCTAGCTATCTATCTAGCAAGCTAGCTATCTATCTAGCAAGCTATCTATCTATCTAGCTATCTATCTACCTATCTAGCTAGCTATCTTGCTAGCTATCTATCTACCTATCTAGCTATCAAGCTAACTATCTATCTAGCTATCTAGCTATCTAGCTTTCTATCTATCTAGCTATCTATCTATCTAGCCATCCAGCTGTCTATCCAGCTATCTAGCTATCGAGCTATCTAGCTAACGATCTATCTAGCTATCTAGCTATCTAGCTTTCTATCTATCTAGCTATCTATCTATCTAGCCATCCAGCTGTCTATCCAGCTATCTAGCTATCGAGCTATCTATCTAGCTATCTATCTAGCTAACTATCTACCTATCTATTTAGCTATCTATCTATCTATCTATCTATCTAGCTATCTATCTAGCTACCTCTTTATCTATATAATTCTATCTAGCTAGCTATCTATGTATCTAGCTATCTATCTAGCCATCTATCTATCTAGCTATCTATCTAGCCATCTATCTATCGAGGTATCTAGCTATCTATCTCTCTAGCTATCTATCTATCTAGCTGGCTATCTATCTATCTAGCTATCTATCTACCAAACTATCTATCTATCCAGCTATCTATCTATCTATCTATCTATCTATCTATCTAGCTATCTAGCTATCTAGCTATCTAGCTATCTAGCTATCTAGCTATCTATCTATCTATCTATCTATCTATCTATCTATCACATGTAATCCTGTCAGCTTTCCAGAGAAGGTTAGTTCGCAAAAACCAACTAATGTAACTTGGGTTTAAGTTTAAATAAAAAAAGCGGGAGGGGGGGATTGGGGGGAGGGCGCAAAAGCAGAATGCAAGCACCTCTTCTCACATGTTACGTTGCTAGTTTTCAAGAGAAGGTTGGTCATGTGATACTCAGGGATGTAAATACTGTGCAAAATGCATCTTACATGAAAATCAAGTATTTAAAGCAGGCAAAGCAAAAAAAAAAAGCAGAAGCAAAAAAGCAGAGAAGCAAAGAAACAGGAAACGCACAAAAGCAAAACAGCAGAAAGGCAAAGAAGCAGGAAAAGCAGAAAAGCAGAGAAGCAGGAAAAGCAGGAAAAGCAGAGAAGCAAAGAAACAGGAAAAACAGAAAAGCAGAGAAGCAGAGAAGCAGAGAAGCAGGAGAAGCAGAAAAGCAAAAAAGCAGAAAAGGCGAGAAGCAGGAGAAGCAGAAAAGCAAAAAAGCAGAAAAGCAGAGAAGCAGGAAAAGCAGGAAAAGCAGGAAAAGCAGGAAAGCAGAGAAGCAGGAAAAGCAGAGAAGCAGGAATCCAAAAATAATTCCTAAACCTGATCAAAAAAAAAATCCTAAAATAATTAGCCCTCCCTTGAAAAATATGAAAGTCAATGGGAAGGACTATCCCATATTATGGAAAATAAAAGCCATGTTTGAAACCACCAACCAGTATAGGAATAGGGATGCCATTATTATTGGGAGCCCCGATATAAATGCCGTGGACATTACAACGCATTTCCGACGGGATACTCTGTGGCTCCAGCTATAGTGGATGAACAAACCAACCCATGACCCATGTGCACCATGTTGTTGGTACACATGCCGTCACATGCTGACACGCGCCCTCAAGAAATGTAGGTAAAACATGGTAAAACTAATTATACTAGAAACAGAGCATCAGAGAATATCAGAGAGCAGATCCACCCAGTTTGCCCACACCCAAGGTTTACACAAGAAATAATCATGTTTCTTGGTTAAACAGCCACCTTTGAACTGACTGGGCCAACTAAGACTCCGTTCGACTCCGTTGAACCAACGGCGAAGCCACCGGGGTGGCCGCAATGGCCGAGCGGCGAAGTCCCATTGATCGGGCCCCGAATGGCCACCATTTTGCCACATGAAACTGTTGATAGCGACATCGGCATCCACCAGAGTCCACTCGAACCACTCCTCAGACTCGAAGATGATTGGAGACTCGCGAAGGAAGATCCGGGTAGATCAATAAGGATAATTCATGTGTGATGGTGTTTTATGAGAATCTGATGGGATATCACCAACATATTTTTTAGTTAATTAGCTAAGTTGGGGGCCACATAACTTCAATAGTTGTTTGATTTATGGTGTATCAAACTAGTTCATGGTGTTTGCAAACCAACAAACACAACTGTGGGGCACCAGCTTGTAGAACAAGGCTTGAAAATTCCTTCCACGTTCAAAAAAAAGATACCCTTTTCATGGTGGTTGTAGGGGATACTGCCTCACATATTTGGGATCGTAGCATCAATGGAGGTGTCCAATGTGTCCAATGTGTCCAATATCAAGGGGGATGGGATCGCACAAAAATCCACAAACCGTTGACAAAGCAACAAGGGAACCCCTCTATCTGGCTGAATTACAATCTGGTTGGTGGTTTCAATCTACCTACCTACCCCTCTGAAACATGATGGACTTAGTCAGTTGGGATGATGTTTCTTTCCCTTTTCTGAATGGCTGTTGAGGGATGATCCCCGTTTTTTACATCCCATCATTCCAGTGACGTGATGAGGTCATAGCATCAGATTCATCTAGATAATCCCAAAGCCAATTGTATCAAAGTATATTCCCAATATATGTATGATTATGTATGATTATGTATGTATAATATACATATATATATATATATATATGTATATATTATATATATATGTATATATATATATCAGCATTTGTGTTGGTTAAATTCCCCATTTTCTTGGATAACCCCCGCATTTTTTTCCATAAGCAAAGCGTCAAGACCTCGTTTCCAGCTGATATCCAAATACTCGATCAGCATCTGCGCAACAACGTGCCGCAAGTAGTTGGGAATCCAGCCGACCTGTGGGTGTTTTCGCCATGTTGCGCAAGGAGAGATTGAAACCAACAATGAGTAGAGATTGAAACCAACAATGAGTGGGGTACCCTCCAGTAAACTTATGAACATTAGTATCATATAATATCATATATATATAATATATATATATATCTATATAAAATGGACCATTTAGTTCGATGGTTTTAAAAAAAACTCATGTTCTTGAGTTATGTGAGTTTACCAAAGGGTAATGAAAATGGGGAAAGGTATACTTCCCCAGTCAGCCAGTCATGTTTTCTTGGGACGATGGTCCAATCCTCGTGCAAATCTTTTGAACTGATGGCTGTTTGGTCAATGCTTAAGGCCTTGGAAGCTACATACTTACTGGTCATCTGTCGTAGCAAACAGTAAGATTGCTATGACAAATTGACAAAATAAAATCATCTATAAATTTAATACCCGTGAAGAGAGATATGTATATCTATACTGGTTGGTGGTTTTAACCATCTTGAAAAATATGAGTTCGTCAATGGGAAGGAGTATTACATATATTATGGAAAATTAAAAAAAAAGTTCCAAAGCACCAATCAGTATATATATATATTATATATACATATATGTATTCATTCTAATAAGAAAGCTACAGGCATTCGCTTCTTCGTCGCGGAAAATGCTTCAGGTCCTGCAGGTGGGATCACTGCACTTAAATTTGATGTGTCTGTGAGCAACTTAAACCCAAGCTGATGGTCAAGCATCATTTATACTAAATCTTTGGAGAAAACTTGAGAAAACACAACAAATCTGACAGAAATATTAGTGCTGTTCATCGACTTTTGTCTACTTAAATCCCACTATTCAGACTTCCAAGATGAAATTGGATGGGCCAACAGCAACAAGAAAAACATCTTGCTTCCGAGCTAGCACTTGTCAGGGACAGGCTGAATTCACCATCATGTTCACCCTCCGGTGGACTATCAAATATGGAAAATCCACCATTTACAGATTTGGAGTTTCCCATTTGATAGTTAGTAACCATTTACTATCAAATATGGTTACTAACTAATGGACTTTCCCATTAGTAACTAGTAACAACCCTTTACTGGCCTCATTTTCCTCATTTTCGGCCAGTTGTGGACGGCTAAATTGGCCAGGTCAGTTCTCTTCATCTTCGTTGTATCACAACGTATTAGGCCTGTTCGATTCTCTTTATATGTTGGAAATAAATCTTGGTAACATGTTGGACCGCACAGGTCTTCCCAACTTTTTATATGGCAGTGTGTCAAAACCTGGTACCCCTGGTGAACAAAATAGCTGGTAAATGGATGTTCATTCCACTAAAAATGGTAGCCATATGGAAGCAAATCTTTGCTTTGAGCTTCAGCTTTGCGATGAAAACTTTAACCTTGGTTGCAGCAACTTTGCAATGTTTTGTCTGTATTTTGCAGGTCGAGAGAGAGTTTTCAGGTCCAAGAGCAAAAATTGTGTTTTCATGACTTGCCACAATGATCACCTTATGCAGTATGCTATGGCATGTGTTCGGCGAATTTGGCGGATAAAATGTGACATTTTTCTTGGTGAGAGAAGTAACAAGGTCCACAAACTTTTCCGCATGAAAGCATTGAGTGTCAAGTTTGTGTGTCAAATCTCCGCTTTGTTTGTAGACTCATGAAAGTTGGCACCACATACTTTATTAAATCACCACGAGGCCATAAGGAATTGTCTGAATACAGGGTACAGTACCCTAATTAAACTGCCACAACTCAGGGGTATAGCGGTATACCCTATCATATGAAGTTGGTCACACATCTCATGAAATTCAACTTTAAATCTCCCATGTGGGAACAAACAACCAACAAAGCTTGTTCAATGTTTTTCTGCATACCCAAATCTAATCTATCATGTGGTTAAAACAATAATAAACCATCCCCCAGTCATCACCATTTTTATAGGGTGGTATGTTTACCATGTCCAGTCATGAATAGTTTATGACATTGTTTTACCCACATTATATATATATATACACATCCCATCTAGAAATCACTATTTTGGTTGGTTTAAATCCCATTAAAAAAACACCATTTTTCATGGTAAAAACACCAACTACCCTATAGATGGCCCTAGTCGAAATAGATGGTTTACCTGGCTTTACCGTTCTTAATAGCATGGTGGATCTTTCCATGGCAAACTGTTAGTCATAACCAGATGGTAATAACCCCAATAACTATGGTTTATGGTAGTTATAACTATAGTACATGTTACATCATGGTAATGAACATGACTATAAACCATAAACCATGGTAATCATGGCTATGTTAGTCATGTTCATTGATGATCTGCTGTTGTACAATCCCCATTTTTGGCTCATCATAACATCGCCTGCCAAAGCTGTTGCATCGCCGCATCCACCAGTGGGAAACCAGTGCTGCCTCCAAAGCGGCGATTTTTTGAAATGGATTGGTTTAAGGGAAAATCTACAGGAAACCATAGATTTCCCGTTAAATTTGGGGTTTTCCTGTAAACATTTCCCTTAAACCAATCCATTGACTGGTGGAAATGGTGGTTCTACTATGTTCTACTATAGTTACTATATGGTTCATGTGGTTGAAAAACATGAACACAACTATGTGAACTTCGGTAAAAATACATGCTAATACTATGTTTGATTTGGTTTATGAAAGTAGTGAATCATCAAAAATGGTTGAATTTGGTGACTGCCATTCTGATCGATAACGTATTCATCCCACTTGTGGGGTTGGCTACTTTTTCCTGAGCGATTATACTTTGCAACAAAACCTAAATATGACTAAGGGAAACCCATGTTTAGAATAGCTAAATCATCAACACATGGGTTACTGTATTGATTGATAGGTGTAGCTGGTAACTGTATAAATTGCAAACTATCAAATTGAATACAATCAACAAAAAAGACTAAAACAACCCCACCCTCCCACGCGCCCATAAGCAAGATGATGGCGATGTGATGGTGCTGATGAAAATGAGGATGAACATGATTAAAGCTGCTGACATTGAAAAAGAAAAGAACATATAATATAAAATAATGATAATACATTCATATATGAATTCATTTTGATGATGATGATGATGACGACTTATGCGGATGAGGATGACGACATTGTGATGACTCCTATGACGTTCGAATGCAAAGCTGGCGACCTTCAAAAGGCGCGGCGAAATCCAGGATCCAGGAGATCGGTGGTTCAACCCCTCTGAAAAATGATGGAGTTCGTCAGTTGGGATATGTTGGGATGATGACATTCCCAACTGAATGGAAAAATAAAAAAAATGTTCCAAACCACCAACCAGTTTCTGTTGGTCATTTTGTATGCATTTCTCTTCATGAAATCTGCTGAAGTCCAAAGTTTGGTTGGCGAAATAACTGCTACATCCCAACATTTACAGGTAAGATCAACATCATTGCCGATCAAATCTTACGAGTATGATGAAATGCGAAACCACTGTTTTTGATGCAAAAAAACTCATGTTGGTTGAATCATCATGTAAATCCAAAAAGGTAATTTAACATAGCTGCTATAGCTACTGAAAATTGCACATTTATAGTTGATTGACCTATTAAAGATGGTGATTTTCCAGTTAGCAAACTGTTCGTTTACCAGAGGGTATCAGCTATAACCATAGTTAAACCCCACGATTTCCATATTTATTTCCATGGGATTTTTCCTATATACCCTCTGGTAATTTAACATAGCTATGGAAAATCACCATTTTCTAGCTGGGTAAATCCACGAACTAAATGGTGATTTTCAATAGCAAACCGTTAGTTTACCAGAGGGTATCCAAGTTGTATGGATTAAACATAATTGGAACCACCAGGTTGATCCATTTTCCGCAGAGGCCTCGTTGCCACCGCTTCAGCTGCGCGGCTGTACCGCTCCAAATCTGCTCCTGCGGGCCATCTGAAGGCTTGAACCAGGAAATTGGAGATTTTTTTTTCGGCAAGTCATGAGGATTTCACCAAAAAATGTCAGTGATTGATATGAAATATGGTGATACTATGTGATACTACAAAAAAAAATGAGGATTTGCATTAAATTCGAGATATTCATAGTGAATCATAATGATATTTCATATTTATCCACCAGATTTACATTGATATAATGAGTGATTGATATTAATACTGGGCTGTATATATATATACACAGATATCACCCTATATTGTAAAATCATGTTATTGTTCTAAGGATATCCCCCAATTGATGGGGATTCTGACAACGAAAATGGTGATATGAGGGATGGACAATTGGTAGTTTATAACTATTCCATATCTAAGTGGGGTATAACTACGGTATAACCCATATACAACTGAAAATATTGGATATATCTCCTGAAATAAGGCCAGTTGCGGAATTTTTACCCCCTACAAATCATGACTAAAGTGCCATCAAGATAGGTTTATGTTAATCTATTGATCTATAACCAGAGTAACTCTTGGGTTTATGGTAGATATCTCCATCCATAGTTGTTTTTTTATTCGCTTACAACCCACTCACAACTGTGGGCAGCTTCGACCCGGGTCATCTTTCGGTGGGCTAGTTGAATCCCCATGAGCCTCTGGTAAATTAACAGTTGGTTGGTGGTTGAGCCACCTACCATTGGTTGGTAATATACTGTTATTATATGGTTAATATATGTTAATATATGGTTAATGATGGTTAATGATAAAATATGGTTGGTGGTTGAGCCACCTACCCCTCTGAAAAATGATGGAGTGAAAGTCAGTTGGGATATGTTGGGATGATGATTATTCCCAACTGAATGGAAAAAAATAAAAAAAGTTCCAAACCACCAACCAGTAACAGTTGGACCCTGAAAATAGCCATTGTTTTCGTGGAAACAAATCTTTCAAGCCCGATGAATGGCAGGGTCGATGTGATTTACTGGAGGGTAACTACTATTGTAAGGTATGTGATCATGTTTTCCTGTCTAGAAAATGGGTCATGGTACTAGTAGTCCTCAATGGGATAAATATTGGAGTATCATGGAGCTAACCCCAGCAGTCATGGGGAGAAATTTATGGGAGATAGATCGCATATAAGCAACAACAAGAGATGAGCTAATCTTAGCCCCTGAACAAATGCAGAAACCACAATTTTAGCAGGATCTTCTTTCCCTCTGGTCATTTAACATAGCTATGGAAAATGGACCATTTATAGATGATTTATGACTGTGATTGTTTACCTATCAAAAATGGGAAGGTCCCATATCTACGTTGAATAACCCAATGGTACTCTGCTATTTGACGAACCCTCAGTGGTCCCAATCATTCAATCCCAACAGTGATCATGTCATGCTACCTGTAGCCTGGAAAAATGCAATTGTTTACATTGGAGGTGAAACTACCGTATACAATGTTTGAATTTCAACAAAGAAAATATTTATATTGTGTATGCTGCCATTAGTTATTAGTATACAATATAATCAATATTGTAAACCTACAATTAGTTTTCTACCCAACATTGTTTATGTTTCTTCCGTGGAAAATGCTGGGTTCTAGCCCTTCCGGATCAATTGGAAAAAGCCATGAGACAACCTGAACCTTGGTCATTGCCGATCTTGAGACTTCGGGGAATTAGCGAATTCAAACATTGGAACTGTGGCTATCATATTAATCCATATTTATCCACATTAATGCACCTTAATCCATATCATGTTCATACTGGGGGAGGTCAACTTCATGGGTAATCCCCCAAAAACTTGGACCCAAATGGCTTTGTCTCCCATGAAAACTGTCATGAACTGGGGGTAACAGCATTTTCAAGTACGTCCCAAATCATATTGTTGCTGATATTTATCGCATCCCGCATCCCCATGAATATCCAAAAAACATGGTTGCGCTGTTGAATCCCCATATTACATGACATCACCATGAGCAAAATACTTATTTGCATATATGTGGTTTATTTCATCACCATATTATGACATAACATCAAGATAACACTAGAAAGATCTCTTCAGCATGCCATTTCACATGTCGCTACATGTCCGTCCTCGTACTGCGGCCGAAGAGAGGTCACTGGCAGAGATGGAAATTCCTTGGCGACGTCGTCGGGCTGATCCTGAATAAATCATTATACCCTATAGAATTATGCTATATATGGTTAATATATGTTAATATATGGTTAATATATGGTTAATGACGGTTAATGATAACCTGGTTGGTGGTGCAATAACCATCTTGAAAAATCTGAGTCAATGGGAAGGATTATCCCATATATTGTGGAAAATAACAAATGTTTGAATAAATCATTATACCCAATACAGGATGGGGCCCCCAAGATAGCTAAGTTGGTTTATAAGTGGCTTAAGAATGGTTTATGGTAGATATAACTATAGTTAATGGGGATTATAATGGTTTATAAACCAACTTGTAACTGGGGGGCCCCATCCTATAGAATAATGCTATAGACATGCTATAGATTGCCCATTGAGTTCGATGATTTTCCTCTTCAACGGCGAGCGATTTTCCACATCGAAAACAATTGCCAGAGGCTGCAGAATGTCATGGATAGCGAAACAGATTACCCTCTGGTAATGACTGTTACATGTTTGCGAACTTGAAAATGGCCCAGTCGAAATAGTTGATTTACCCAGCTAGAAAATGGTGGATCTTTCCAGTTCGCTATGTAACAAATTACCAGAGGGTATATAGGACAAATCCCATGGACATAAATATGGAAATCGTGGGGGTTTAACTATGGTTATAGCTGATACCCATGAAAAAAATGTGATTTTCCATATAGTTTGTTGTACGTTTACCAGGCCGGGTCGATGACAAGGTCCCTGTGATCTCTGTTTCCCCATGTCAGGTGTGGTTGACCCGGTTGACCGCCGATTTTTTTGGATGATCATGTTTGATAAACTCAGTCAACAAATCAACAATATGGATGATTGATGATGATTGGATATCATGTTTATTGATATGGATATATATGGATGATTATTGATTAATCATCCAAGATCCTATGGATTATATCATTTGAAAAAATATCAATCATTATCATGTTCTGTGATATCATCATCTGGATTTCTGTGAAAATCCCAGACATCATTTAGAACCAAAAGCTACATGACTTCAACTTCAACTGCTAAGCTCCAACTTGTGGGAAAGAAACAAAGCTTAAGTCGGCCAAATGGCTATCTTTCAGGCTTCGCAGGTTGGACAAGACTCACTTCGAACAATACTGACAATGGAAGTTCTTTCTCTCCAGGTTGGATACTACATATATTTCCAAAGAGATCAGAGATCCAAAGAGTAGTTTTGGCCATCGTTACCATCGAAAAGCATTGACGCAACGCAACCTTTTTGCGCGTCAATTATTGCCAGGCTTAAAACACAGACAAATGGTACCCTCTGGTAATGTGTTACAGTTCGCTATTGAAAATGGCTATTGAAATAATTGATTTACCCATTAAAAATTGTGATTTCCCATAGTTTTTTGTATGTTTCCCAGGCCGGGTAATTAAACATATGCCCTCAGGTAATCAAACATGACACCGAACAAAACAAGTACATCAAGTCATCCAGTTTTACATATGTCTATGATGGATTCCCTGTTGTCAAGTTAGATGAATACCCTCTGGTAAACTAACAGTTTGTTATGGAAAATCACCATTCTTAATGGGAAAATCCACTATGTCTATGGCCATTTTCAATAGCTATGTTAAATTACCAGAGGGTAGACCCTATTTCAACCATCTGTCCATGCCAAGTGTCCCACAGAAACCAATAGGCAAGGTCACGCCACACAAATCTGCGCAGGAAAGTGGCATTGGCCTTGTCAAGGCTTTCACCCGCATCCCAACGGGAAAAAAAACACATACCCGGTATATCGGTATATGATCCTTTATGGTACTCAAACATGGCTGAAAAATTCACTTGTAAACTCTGTTTTCAAGGGATCATCGATCTAAAGTGCGGCACATTCCGTTGCGGAAAAAAGAACTGCAGTTCAAGAATCTTGGGTTGTACACATTCAGAACACCAAAGAACTAATGAAGTTTGAAGCATCCAATCGCACTGACCCAGAAATCTCATCTGATCTGTCCCACGCACGACCCAGGCCTTAGGTCTTTCCTGGTCATAGGCATAGCCCGAATCGGCGAAGATTCGTTGATCCGTCCTCAAAGATGACTTGGCGTAGGGATGTTCACCACGGGTTTATAGGATGATAATCGATGATAGATGGATTTTTTGTATGATTTTAGTGCTAAATGGGGTATTTATATATGTATCTATATACCAAAGACATGTCATAGGTTCCAATAAATTGGCCTTCAAAAAAACATGATGATCTGACTAGAGGTAGACAGGTTTCAACCGCCATTCTCCCCATGATCCTCTGGGCGTATTGCTTGGCAGCGGCGTAGATAAACTTCACAGAGATCTCCCCAAAGCGGATGTAGGGCGAAAGCTCCTGTGGCGCTCGTTCGGAAGATGGTGGAAGATGACTTGGGTTTAAGGGTAGACGTGGGAAAATGGCTGAAGAACTACAAGCATATGGATGTTTCCTAAAGTGGGGTACCCCCAAATCATTACCTCCAAATCATCCATTTTAATAGTTTCTACTATAAACCCATTTTGGGGTACCCCCATGACTATGGAAACCCCTATATGTACTGTAAACTATTGCTATTAAAGGCATCCAAAAAACAAATGCCAAGGTAAAACATGTGGTCTGTAGGACTTGGATGACGTGCTGCAAGGGGGTACCACTGAGGTGCCCATAGACGTAGGGTTTTCCCACAGCAGCCACGTGTCCCTGCTGAACATGAAACCTCCGAAAACTAGGAGCTCAAATGTTCTTTGATGTTTTTTTTACCCCCAAAAAAAACTGGAAAACAAGTCGAAGAAAGAAGAAAAAGGCCAAGTTTCATATGGTTTCATATGGTTCCTTTTGGGGGTTCATATGGATCTGGATTTTCGGCTGAGTTCCCAACCCCCCGCGACCAGCCCCGCACCGAGGTATTCTTCTCGTCGCTCAGCAGCCGCTTTCGTCCTTCGAAGTCGCCGCTGGACAGAACCTGCGCGGCCCGGCCAGGGACAGGCCACGGATACGGAGAGAGATGGGCTGTGGCCGGAGTTAGTTGACGACTGAGGATATGTAAACATGTTTACCTATCTATCTATCTATTTATCTATCTATCTGTCTATCTATCTATCTAAATGTGTTCCACCTTTCCCAACACGTTGGAGAAATCCTATGGATAAATATGGATTTATAGGATTTATAGGAATTATAAGAATTATATATGGAAATATATGGAAATCCTATGGAAATATATGGAAATCATGGGGTTTAACTATGGATTCATAGGATTTAGCCTCTGGTAAACGTTTACATAACGAACTGGAAAATCACCATTTTCTAGAAATGGGAAAACTCACTATGTCTATGGCCATTTTCAATAGCAAACTGTTAGTTTACCAGAGGGTATTTCGTTCTCTATATTGACTCAATATGTTTTTTTTGAGATTTTTCATAAGATGCTCAATTCAGACAGCAGTCATTTGGTGTTAAACATATGGCTTCAGGAAAAATCCATAACAGACCCATTTGATAAATGAAAATGATGGAACTATCTGGACATCGTGGATATCAAACATCAGCCATGCAGCTTCTCCATCTGAGGACTGTGTGGATCATGGTTTTTTCGCTGGTTGGGATTGGCCCGATGAGGCATATACACACAAATATACACGGTCATGAAGATAGAATATAGGAATCATTAGGAATCTAAGAAATACGTCAATGTTAGTGAGGATTTGTCAAAAAATGTCCGAAAAAGGATGACTATCTATGCAAGCCATGGTTTTCTATCAGAAAACTGCTGCATTTATTTTGAAACATACCAGCGGCAATTCGAACGGGGCACCTGGATGGATTGCATTTTTTACAGACAGTATCTGGTGGTTAAGGTCGTATACACACATTACATAGATAGATAAAATGATTAAGAAACAGAGTGATTCATTGATTGACGGATAGTTCATGATCTCATGTTTAAATCATATTTTGATTTACATATAAAGATCCTAGGTCATATTTATTCATTTACATATGATATCATATGATCATATCTACTGGATTCTACTGGACAATAAATAACAATAGAAACAACTTGGACGTAAAAATCAGATATGTTCGTTTCTATAGTTTCCACCATCTTAAGCAACATCTCCAACGTTCCAACTCGCCTTCTGCAGGAAATGTTCCAAGCGTTGAAGGGCTGCCTCTTCACCCACCTACATGGGTAAAGCAAACGAGGCTGGAAAATCCTCTACAAACGGAGGCTTCAATGGGAAAAACCTAGGAAAACATTGGATGTGGGAAAATCCACTAAGAATTGGAGGTTTCTGGCTGGGAAAATCAATGATGGATTCCCATGGATTCCCAATTGTTAAGTTTGCTTACCGAAGAGTCCGCCATGTGGTTGTTTCAAAGATGAATCATGATTCGTACTTTTATTTTTGGTAGTGAGACGCAGTTTGCTATATTGTGTTGTATTGTATTGTATTGTATTGTATTGTGTTTGTATGTTATTTCACTATTTTTGTTCCCCAAGTGCCATAGACCATAGTTCTTGGAGTTAGTGGCCCCCCAGCTTAGCTATCACAAATCAGCTATAAATCCCACGAAATCGCCATTTCTCTTACTTCAATCAGCATTTTCCTATGGTTTTTCCGATGTTTTTCCCATCTTCCAATAGGCCCCCCCTGGCGCATCACCCGGGCCCCCGCCTTCCACCACGCCTTGATCCCAGCCGCCCAGTCGCCGCAACTTCCAACGCCCTTGGCGCTGCTGAAGCCCCGGCCGGCGGTGCGGCCCAGGAAGCTGAGGTCCACGGAGGGCGAAAGGCTCGGCGGCCTGGGAAGAGCTGGGGTTGGAAGAGGATGAGGGTTTTTGTCTGTCAATTCAAAGGGAAACTGCTGGTTTATATGAACATATATATATATATATATATATGATGTGATGATGAGGGGTGTGATTAACAAAGGGATGAGGATAAGGAAAATGATGATTAATCATTGATTTCCGGCCAAACCCAGACTATGGGATAATGATGATGATGATGATGATGATGATGATGATGATGATGATGGTAATGGTGATGTTGATGATGTTGATGGTGATGGTGATGAAGAAGAAAATGATGATAATGATGGTGATGATGGAGATGGAAATGTTGTTGATGATGATGATGGTGATGTTGACGGTGATGGTGATGGTGATGTTGATGATGATGATGATGATGATGGTGATGGTGATGGTGTTGTTGATGAAGATGGTGAAGGTGATGGTGGTAATGATGATGATGACGATGGTGACGATGGTGATGATGATGATGTTGTTGATGATGTTGATGATGATGATGGTGGTGGTGGTAATGATAATGATGATGATGATGTTGTTGATGGTGATGATGGTGATGGCGGTAATGGTAATGATGTTGATGGTGATGATGATGATGTTGATGATGATGATGATGATGCTGATGATGTTGATGATGATGTTAATGATGATGTTGTTGATGATGATGATGATGTTGATGATGATGTTGATGATGATGTTGTTGATGATGATGATGATGTTGATGTTGATGTTGCTGATGATGTTGTTGATGATGATGATGTTGATGATGTTGATGATGATGTTGTTGATGATGATGATGATGTTGATGATGATGTTGATGATGATGTTGTTGAAATGATGATGTTGATGATGATGTTGATGATGATGATGTTGATGATGATGATGTTGATGTTGATGTTGCTGATGATGTTGTTGATGGTGATGATGATGTTGATGATGTTGATGATGATGTTGTTGATGATGATGATAAAGTTGATGATGATGTTGATGATGATGTTGTTGATGATGATGATGTTGATGATGATGATGTTGATGATGATGTTGATGATGTTGTTGATGATGATGTTGTTGTTGATGATGATGATGTTGATGGTGATGATGTTGATGTTGTTGTTGTTGTTGATGATGATAATGATGTTGATGATGATGATGTTGATGATGATGTTGATGATGATGTTGATGATGATGTTGTTGATGATGATGCTGATGCTGGTGATGATGATGATGTTGATGATGATGTTGTTGATGTTGATGATGATGTTGTTGATGATGATGATGATGATGATGTTGATGATGATGATGTTGATGATGATGATGATGTTGTTGATGATGATGATGATGGTGATGTTGATGATGATGATGATGATGTTGATGGTGATGAAAATTACAATTGTGGCGATGGTCAAAATCCCTTCACTGAATCTCCACCACCACCCCCTTTCCGCCATGACACACTGGCGGCAGCTGCGTGACACCGGGCACTGGCGCTGGCGGTGCTCCCAGCTGCTCCAATGCATGGGAGAAGAAACGGTAACTGCCAAAGCCACTGATGTGCTCAGAGTCCTGGGACAATTTCCGCCATGACCTCGAAGGGGAAATACCTATTTAATACATCCCGTATTACATTATACATGAATTTATACTGGAAACACAAACATGGGGTAACAGTCCATTTGTTGAAATTCACGAAATTGCCATTTTGACCAATGAAAATGTGCAAGTCATTGGTTTGGTGATGATGCTCAATGGGTTGAAATTAAGCAAAGTCACTCCCCAAGAAGCAAACATCAAGAATCCTCAACATTCTGAAAATCTGGGTTTGACATTGAGAACCGATACAAACATCAAACATCATCGCTGCAACCCCTACGTTGCTCCGCGTCGGAATCAGAAGTGGCCGAAGTATATAATAGTACATAGCACATATATAATTACATCACATATAAGTCAGAGAGGGTGCCAATTTTTGATCCCTCAGCAAGAGAAGTTGATGTAATGATCCCTGTCAACGTAGTAGTCAGAGGGGGTGGCGGATTTTGATCCCTCAACAAGATAAGTTCATGTTCTTATTATCATCAACACATAAGTCAGAGGGGGTGGCAAATTTTGATCCCTTTATGAAGATAAGTTCATGTTATGATCCCTGTCAACGTAGTAGTCAGAGGGGGTGGTGGATTTTGATCCCTCAACAAGATAAGCTCATGTTCTATTGTTCTTATTATCATCAACATATAAGTCAGAGGGGGTGGCAAATTTGGATCCCATTATGAAGATAAGTTGATGCTATGATCCCTGTCAACGTAGTAGTCAGAGGGGGTGGTGGATTTTGATCCCTCAACAAGATAAGCTCATGTTCTATTGTTCTTATTATCATCAACATATAAGTCAGAGGGGGTGGCAAATTTGGATCCCATTATGAAGATAAGTTGAGGATATGGATTGGATCCTCTGGATCATTCCCCCATTCCCTACCAAGCACCAGAAAGATGATGATGATGATGATGATGTTGATGATGATGATGATGATGATGATTCTCTTGAGGTGTGGAGCAACGTCCGGGTTGGAGGGAACATGTTTAATCTCATGAAGAGACGAAACCCAATGAGCAACAAATTGGCCAAGAAACAATGCTACACATCAATAACCCACAAAGTTTTTTAGAAATCCCAAAGCAAGTTAGCACCAAAAATGCGCCAAAACATGCCAACAACCCCCACTTTTGTCCAGTCCTCAGATTTGTTCTTGGCTTTCTGGCCATTCCATTCAGCCTCCTCCGTACGCACTTTCCTGGGCGGAAGTTTCGGAATAATTGAAAAAATGAGTGAACCAGTGAGTGAAGGAACGAATGAACGAACGAACGAACGAATGAAGGAATTGAATTGAATTGCATTGAACTGAATTGAATAGACATGATTGAATGAATGATTGATTGAATGACTGAATGAATGAATAAATGAATGGGTGTGAATGTGAACATGTAAATGTGGATGCGGATGTTAATGTGAAATGAATGAATGAATAAGCGAATTAATGAATCAGCTATACTTGTTCAATCGTTGAGCTAACCATGTCCTTCCTGGTTTAAACATGTTCTCTGTAACCCTGACGTTGCCCTGCGTCTGACTTCAGCTGGCTATGAAGATAAAGTTGATGTTATTACCCCAATCAACATATTGTTCATAGGGGGTGGCGATTTTGATCCCTTATGAAGATAAAGGTAATGTTATTACCCCAATCAAAAATATTGTTCATAGGGGTTGCGAATTTTGATCCCTGATGCAAATAAAGTTGATGTTATTACCCCAACCAACAAATTGTTCATAGAGGGTGGCAAATTTTAATGTGATGATGGTCGTGATGTGATGATGTGATGTTGATGATGATTATGATGATCATGATGATCATGATGATCATGATGATTGTAAGTGTGGAGCAACGTCCGGGTTGGGGCGAACATGTTTAAACCAAGTCTTCTCTGAGCGGCCTCATTCATTCCTTCATTCATTCATTTCATTTCATTTCATGTTTGATTGCCGGCGAGTAAGCTCATTTGAGCCAGTAAATATCTCCAATTAGGTACAAGTAGTATATGTATGTATATGTCCCCAGTTCGTAACCAATCAATCAAGCTATTTTCTTCATGGCTCATGTCTGAGATCCTATCCCACCTTTGCTTTGCCCCAGCGGCCAAAGGTGATAAAGGTGGCACATGACTCGCGTGAGGTCCAAACGTTTCTGCAAATTTTGTGGGATGTTTTCCCCCTGGTAAGCATTGATACGTAGTGATTTATAACCCAATCTAACTATAGGATATAGTGCGTATATAGTGATATAGCTGGCATTCAAACCATTTAAACCCTAAATCTTGTAGTTGCAGACCAACTTAGCTATCTTGGGGGCACCACATTGTAGTAAGCATTCATACCCATGTTTGTTGAATGAAAGTCATGGAACATCATTCGATCTGCAGATCGATTTGAAGAAAGACATGGAGACATCCTAAAAACCCTTGGGCAAGCAGTATCGAACTGCTCACCACATCCCACTTTCAATGGACTGCGGGGAAATTCACAGGACACCATGGTAAAACACCACCCCACAAGCTTGGCTTTTCTCGCATGATTTTCCCATCATCCAATTCTAGCAAAGGTTGCCCACCAATTCTGCAAGTTGGGGCCCCGGTTTACAAAATCGCTAAGTTGGAGGCCGCGTAACTCCAATTTCACTTTGGTTTTTGTCTATCTATCTATATATATATATATAACAATTATAAAAACCATAGTCCTCATCAGCTTTACCCTTTGGTAAACTAACGGTTTGCTATTGAAAACGGCCATAGACATAGTGGATTTACTCATTTTCATAGCATGGTGATGTTCCATAGTTTTCTGTAAACGTTTACCAGAGGGTATAATATATGTTTTATAAACCGATGGCCCCATGTTTCATATTGGTTGATAGTCCCATCGTGCATATCCATAGTTATAGTATCAGTAAATATCATAAATATTTTTTTTTTAAAAAAAAAACATAGCATCACTTAAGTTATGGTATATATAATATATGTTATATATACTGTATATATATATATATATTATGTATATAATAGTATAGCATCATCATTCAAAAGGCCCCGGCAATTCCAGGATGCTGCTCCGCTGCCCAGCGTCTTTCGCCAGATCTGCCAGCGTTCAATGGGTTGCAACTCCTGCGGCTCGTACAAGACGTTGCCCGGAAAGCTTTTCACCTGGACTGCTTTGCATGCTGCAAGGTTGGTGATTGGGATAATAGGCTGGATAATTCTTAGATTATCCTATGTTATTATGGATTTTTACCAGGCTGATTTCCAGGTTATTACCAGCACACAACGGAAGAGATACCGTAATACCCCTATCCTTACCGTCAACTTGAAGCTGAGATCGCCGCAAGTGACCCAGAGGTTCATGGGGATGTGATATGACAACTTGATGGAAATGTAGATTTTGACCCTGAGAAAAGCATTGGATGTTAGAGACTAGTCACCAACACTGTTGGTGGTTTTCATATGTGTTAGATAGCTATCAAACATGTGATCTGAGCAGCAATATTGATGATTTTTTAGCTCATGGATCAGCCAAAGATAATGGGCATTAACCAACAACAATGGGGATATCTGGGAATGACTGAGGAACTATCATCGGAATACAACAGGGAAATACTAGTTGTATAGTGGGGATTCCTATCAACCTTGGTCATTGACCAAGAAAATGGGGAGTAAAAATGCGAGGATGGAATGATCCAACAATCCTTCCGCTGGTGAATTTGCAGAAATGTGGTAAACCCAATCCATAAATGGGTAACTATGTTAAAATTACGGTTCCATTGCAATACCCCAAATGATATCAGTTTATGGAATCGGGTTAACCCTAGTAACGAGATGATGGTTACTAACGTAGTCACTCTCAAATGGTTGTCTGGTAATTTAACATAACTATGGAAAATCACCATTTTTAATGGGAAAAGTCACTATAAATGGCCATGTTCAATAGCTATGATAGTTTACCAGAGGGTAGTTCCTTGGCGGATTTATTGTTGGGTTTACACCATTAATTATATAGGGGAAATAATCGCGTGTTTTCTTTCACAATATCTTCACTTACGATTCAGACAAATCTCCTCCCAGTGTAGCACTAGGGCTGAGTCAAAAATCATCATCCACCAAAAGACAAACATCCAAAAAAGCAATGATAAAAATACATAGTGTTAAAACTTACAATTCATCAACAACAATCACGAAATGGATGGTTGGTATACAATTCAATATAATTTTGCACTATCTTATAATTACTATATATACATATATATATATACACACACACCCATTTTTACATGTACTATTGAGAAACAAAACACATTTACACTATTTTATAGCATAACACAGTCATTTGAAAAAAATCCGGGGCCACATCCCCAACCCGTCCCCAGCATCCCCCAGCCTTCAGCCCTTCGCGTTGCAACGCCTCCGTGGTCTCCTGATCCACCCGCTGCTGCCAGGCCTCGCAACGCCGATTGAAGGCCACCCAGGTGGCCTTCTGCGGAGCGTTGCACTCGGAGGAAATCCTTGGGGCCGTTGCGGCCGTGCCGGGGCCGGGGAACCCCATGAGTTCACCAATGGGGTTAGACAGTTCAACATGAATGTTCAGGTTAGGACTCACTATCTGGTTGGTGGTTTCAACCAACCTCTCTGAAAAATGATGGAGTTCGTCAATTGGGATCATTATTCCCAATATCCAATATATATATATATATGGAAAAAAACGTTCCAAACCACCAACCAGCTATGGCGATTTGCGACTTAAGGTTCGATTTCCGACGGTTTTTTCACAGTAGCCATAGAAACCAGTTATTTCTTTGGTTATGAATGAGTATCATTTCATAAATGGGATGACTTCCTGACTTATAACTGTAACTGCAAGGGGGGGTCAAAACCATGCAAGACAAACGTTTGCAAATTTAACGGATGTTGAATGGAAAAAAATGAGTTAGATTTCCAATATATGGATGAAACCAGCTCGAGACCCTTGACAACTTGATGCACTGTTTTGCACAAAGAAAATTGAGGGGTTCTTTTGAAAAAGGGGAGCAATTAATTTGAGGAACATGTGCTGGGAAATCTGCAAAAGGGAATGTAGGATAGTATGATAATTAGTATTTATCGAATCGGGGTCCCTCATATTTTTGGGCACATCCCCCTGACCAATTTTCGTACAATCTCCCAAACACCTGCAGAAGTACCAGTCTTTCCTGCGTCAATGCTTTTGGGCCATGCAACACCCCCACCCGATGTTCCAACACGCGCTGTGATGTTCCAACCTTTACTCTGGTAATAGAAGGAATTTGACGAAGCAACCATCAATTCTCATCATAATCCCAAATTGTCCAGTTTCTTGGATTATCATCTTTATCAATAGAGTCTTTCCCATGGTATTTCCCAACAAAAATGTAGCTGTTTTCTGCAGTTTCCCCGTCAATTTTCCAAGCATGTCCCATGACTTTTCTCAAAAAATTGGGTTTCCAACAAAAAATTGGGTTTCCCCTAACAATTTTCCAAGCATGTCCCATGACTTTTCTCAAAAAATTGGGTTTCCAACAAAAATGGGGTTTCTCTACAGTTTCCCCTAACAATTTTCCATCCATTTCCCATTACTTTTCTCCAAAAATTAGGTTTCCAACAGAAATGGGGTGTCTCTACAGTTTCCCCTAACAATTTTCCATCCATTTCCCATGACTTTTCTCAAAAAATTGGGTTTCCAACAAAAAATGGGGTTTCTCTACAGTTTCCCCTAACAATTTTCCAAGCATGTCCCATGACTTTTCTCAAAAAATTGGGTTTCCAACAAAAAATGGGGTGTCTCTACAGTTTCCCCTAACAATTTTCCAAGCATTTCCCATGACTTTTCTCAAAAAATTGGGTTTCCAACAGAAATGGGGTTTCTCTACAGTTTCCCCTAACAATTTTCCAAGCATGTCCCATGACTTTTCTCAAAAAATTGGGTTTCCAACAGAAATGGGGTGTCTCTACAGTTTCCCCTAACAATTTTCCATCCATTTCCCATGACTTTTCTCAAAAAATTGGGTGTCCCCTAGATTTTCCCATCAATTTCCAAAAAAAAATTGGGTTTCCCCTAGGTTTTCCTATCAATTTCCATGGTTTCCCACCGGTTCCCACTGGTTCCCACCGCTGCCACTTCGGCGCTTGGCCAGCTCCGCCGCCGGCGTCGACCCCGTCGACGCCACGGCCGTGCGGAGCAGCAGCGCCGAGCCCAGCGAAGCCAAGGTCTGGGAGAAGATGCGCAGGGACCTCAGAAATGGAGCAATGGAACATGGTGAATATCATTTTGTTGGTCTATCTTCCATTTTTGTTGGTTAACTCAATTGAAAATTGCCATTTATAGTGGATTTTCCCATTAAAAATTGTGATTTTCCATTGCTATGTTAGTTCACCAGAGGGTATCATGATAAACAGATGGTATATTTACTAATGGAATATCATCTGTTGGTAGTATAAACAGGTGGTATAAACAATCACTAATATCATGATAAACAGATGGTATAAACTATAAACACCCAGTTGTATCTAATGATAAACCATCACTAATGGATGATAAACAGTTGTATCAAAAATAGTGAATATCATGATAAACAGGTGGTGTTTTTACTGGTATAAACCATCACTAATGTATGGGTGGTGTATTGTCTGGTTGGTGGTTTTAACCATCTTGAAAAATATGAAAGTCAATGGGAAGGATTATCCCATATATTATGGAAAATAAGAAATGTGTGAAATCACCAACCAGTCATTATAATAATGGTATAAACTATAAAAACCCAGTTGTATCTAATGATATTAATTATAGATAAAAATAACAACTGTCTATGGTTAATCATAGTTGTAGATATGAATCATACTTAATCATAGGTATTTTCCAAAACTACCCATAATGATACATATTGTCTATGGTTAATGATAGGTATAGTTATCAATTATATCAATACAGTTAATGATAGTTATAGTTATTGGTCATGGTGAATCAAACCCAGTTGTAGTGCATGATATTAATTAAAGAAAATATAATAACCATCTATAGTTCTATGGTAACAGGTAATATAATAATAATTATAGACAATGACTCATGAATGATAAACGTTTTTAATAGTTAATGGTGGTTTTGTGAATGATTGTTAATCATAACCCAGTTGCATCGGATATATTCTAGTAGATATATATCATTTAATAAAATAGAAATATTGCAATACTCACAATTTGACTCAGTTTACAATAATAATAGATGATGGATGATAAGCCAGTATATATATATACATTGGTCATTAGTTATACTGTAAGTAAATGTGGTAGTTGTAACAATAAGCAATAAATACATATAGTGCGAATAACAGCCCATTTAACTACACTTATATCATATCTAATACAATCATAATTATGATAATGAGATGATAATAATTATTGTCATCTCATCATAAAATTGCTGAAAAGTAGGGATATAAACCCCTTCTATCCCTTAGTCCAATGGAAATTACAATACCAAATATGGGGAGATCGAGTTCTGACCATGACACGTAAGAGCAATGTTCAACACCCTTTGTCTTTCCATTTATACTGATGAGTCTGATGAGTTAATAGGCATTCCCAGAATGGATTGTGATAATTTCAAATATATCGAGAAGTGTAACTCTTATGATCATCAACGAGCGCGCAAGGGTTTTGAACACTGCTCAATTCTGATTTTAACAGGATTTAACCATCAACAATTGAGATTTTAATTGGGAGAATGGGGATGTACCACGAACTGGTTGGGATTTCACCAACCAGTTGGTTACTATAATATCTGGGAAAAAACGGGTCAAAAAGTAACCCAAAAAAAATGATGAACAAGTAGATTTTTCGCGGGACTAACCCCAACTCGTTTCTGGGAATATTATGGGATGTTATGATATACTGTTTGGTGGTATACCTACCCCTCTGAAAAATATGAAAGTCAGTTGGGACTATTATTCCCAACTGAATGGAAAAAATAAAATTCATGTTCCAAACCACCAACCAGTATAGGTCTATAGTAACCCTATGACCCCTAAAGGATAAACACATAATTTATAACGTTATAACCATATATCTGTGGGATTCGACGTTTCTATCTGGTCGGGGGAGTTGCTATAAATAAAACCATCCAAAAACGGGCAATTATTTGTTCGAGCCACAACCAGATCGGCCAGCAGTTTTTGGGACTTTCCAATTGAAGACCTTGTAGTTTCACACGGATTCACCATACTGATTGCACGATTCAGTTTGAGATATCAACTAATTGGTGGTTTCAACCCCCCTGAAAAATATTAATCAGATTATATCATCATCCCAACTATTGGGGAAAATAAAAAATGGTCCAAACCACCAACCAGTCAAAGTCAGGAAGTTGACGCTGAAATTCTTGGGACTCAATTTGCAGTGGTGGTGGCCTCCTTCACTAATTGACCAGGGCTTGACAAGCAATCCGTGGTTGACAAAAAAACGTGACGGTCCTATTTCCGGCAGGTCAAATCGGAAGATTTGTAGGTGGTCCCCTCTGCAATGATGAATTGGCTTATAAAGCCCAATGACTTTTGATATCTTCACCATATGTATATATATATAATATATACTGGTTGGTTCAACCCCTCTGAAAAATGATGGAGTTCGTGAATTGGGATCATGACATTCCGAATGGAAAGTCATCAAACTCATGCTCCAAAACACCAAGCAGTATATATAAACAGCCTAGTTATTAGAGTTATGTTCACCGACTTAGCTACTAGTTTCATGGCCAGTGATCATCCCCAGTAAGGGAGATCTTTTATCGACTGAAGGACGGATCTATGCCATGGAAGATTTCCGAGGAAATTGATATGGTATAATGGTATTAAACCAGGAAATTGATACCATATTTAATGGTGGTTTAATGGTAGTTTAATGGTGGTTTAATGGTGGTTTATGGTTAAGACCTCAGTTACCCTCTGGTGGCTTAATGGTGGTTTTTCATGAGATAAAAGACCAACAAATTGTGATTTTACTGGGATTTACCCTCTGGTAAACTAACAGGTTGCTATTGGAAAATGTTTATCTATAGATGATTTACCCATAAAAAATGCTGGTGTTCTATAGTTATGTTAGTTTACCAGAGGGTAGATACATTGCTATACCTGATCTCTTGAAACGAAACAGACTTGCAATTGCCAAGGTCATCAAACATGGCTGGCTGGAAAATCCCACATTTGTAGATGATTTTCGGAGCTATAAACCTTCATTGTAAGGGGATTTCCTATTGCCACGCTTGATTACTGAAGTGTAATATCCCCATTAATTCTTTATTATGCCCATCAATGGCCGGTTCTCCACTGATTAATAGTCACATTCCCCCATAGTTTGCTAGTATATGTGATACTTGTTACAGTATATCCATGTATATATGTGTATAATATATATGTATAATATATATATATGTATAATATATATAATATATATATATATGTGTGCTATATCGATACTTGCTATATCCATATGTATAATTATGTATATATTTGCCATATCCATGGATTTATGATATTCTATGGTCATCTATGGTTATATATCCATGGTATATTTGCAATCTCCCCAGATAGGCCCGAGCAGCTCATACTTCCAGAAACCTCGGGTTGAACAAAGCAGGGGCCGCAGGCCGCCCCAGGCCCCGGTTTTTTTGGGCGCCAAAATGTTGGTTGAATACATCAAAATTTAGCCATGGGAAAATTGTGCTTTCACCAGGGAAAATGCATGAAAATGCTAGTTTAACCAGGGAACAATTGGAATTTAACCAGCGCAAATGGGGATTGAACAAGATGTCGTCAACAACAATTGGAATAGACCAATGCATTTGTGGATACCCTCTGGTAATTTAACATAGCTATGGAAAATCACAATTTTTAATGGGAAAATCCAGTATAAATGGCCATTTTCAATAGCATTCAATAGCTATGTTAGTTTACCAGAGGGTACATTATAATGACATAATCGGAGAAATATCACCAATGATATTATGACATTGCTCTGAAGCATTGGACAATTCACCTGGTCACTTCTCTCCAAGATCTGAGTCAAAGTGGAGGTCCGTATAGAAACAGTCATTAGATAAAAGGCTTCAAAAAACGGTGGCGAATAAAAAAACAAGAACCAATTTTTTGCAACTATCTTTGGTAAGCCGGATATAAACTATTCCAATCTATTCCAAGCCACTTGTGAACACTTTAACCATCAACATCCATCAACCTGCTCAACCTACCAATCAACAGCGATGAATTTGGATGGTCCAAGCATGTTAAATTCTCAAAGAAATGCTTAAAAAATGCTTGTTATGTTATGGTTTTCAACATTTTAGATGACTACCATCTGGTAATTTGTTACATAGCTATTGAACATGGCCATAGAAATAGTTGATTTACCCACTAAAAATGGTGATTTTCCATAGTTATGTTAAATTACCAGAGGGTAAGTTTATTGAGACTCCAGCTCTGAGTGATTCACCCAGTCTCTAGAAATCCATCTTTATGGACTCAACATGAATCAAAATTTCTGCCGAGCCACGTGCTGCGCCGGTCACTTGCTGTTCGGACTCCAGGATGAAGACGGGCACCACAGCGTCAAACTTCGTGGCAAAGGACAGAGCCGGATTGTCCTTGTCAGTGCCGCTGCTGGCTGGGCAAGGCGCAGTGCGCCAATGTTACCTTTTATAAGTGATAAACCACGACTTACTCGCACATACAGTAATATATATATATATATATGTATATTATATTGCTATATATTTATTCATTTATTTATTTATGTATTTATTTAGGTATTTATTTATAAATGTATGTATTCATTTATTTACTTATCTTTATTTATTTGTCCAGTCATTTATCTATTCTTATTGTGACAATAGCCAATTATTTGCCTGCTTTAAAACAGGAAGTATTCTATGGTATGATGAAGTTCCTTCACACGCCAGTTCAGTCATAACCCCATTGCCATCTAGTAGGCATCCGGGTCAGTGGTTAATCACATTGGTATCCATCCACTTTGGGGGCTTGCGGCTTACGATCACCACTAGCGAAGTGGCATTCTTAACCAAGGTCAGGACGTACTGCAGGAGACCGGAATCAATGTTTTTCACACCTATGGCCACAGGTCCTACGGGTCAGACTTGCAATCATTTACTGCTTGGTGGTTGACCTACCCCTCTGAAAAATGATGGAGTTAAAGTCAGTTGGGATGATGAAATTCCCAACTGAATGGAAAGTCATAATCCCTTCATGTTCCAAAGCACCAGTCAGTTTTGGCAATTATGACCCTGACTGGCTCAGATGATCAAAAAACGATCAGTGATGTGCAATGCACAATTTATGCCTTTAGAAGCTGTGTACCTCACTTGGAAATCACCATTTCCATGGTCCCAAGACCTGAACGATTCACCGTGAAAATCGGCCGAAAATGGGCCATCTGTGGCCTTTTCCTGTGGTTTCTTAGGCCATCATCTTTCGAATGGTGGAAACCACCACCATTGATGCTCGACTTCTGATCCTTTTCATATCTAAAGGGCTGGCTTTGTCCAAAATTGGATGCCCCAAAATTAAATCTGGTTGGTGGTATACCTACCCCTCTGAAAAATGATGGAGTTCGTCAGTTGGGATCATGACATTCCCAACTGAATGGATTTTTTTTTCATAAAAAATGTTCCAAACCACCAATCAGATTATATGCGTTATCATCATTGCCCCCATGAAAACATTGCGGCGGCCCATCCACCATGGGCAAACCCAGAAATCGTATCCCCATAATTTAAGGCTGACGCAATAGCACCTCAACTACATGAACAATTGACCATGATCCAGCATGTTCTAGGAATGATTTACTGGTTGGTGGTTGACCTACCCCTCTGAAAAATGATGGAGTTAAAGTCAGTTGGGATGATGAAATTCCCAACTGAATGGAAAGTCATAATCCATTCATGTTCCATTATTGATTATTATATCCCATTAAAAACACCATTAAAAACACCATGACATCCCATATGGAAAGTCATAATCCATTCCATGGTTCCAGTCACCACCAACCAGCTGTCGTGGCACCTGCAATCGCATGTCATCCCGCAGCCACACGATGCACAGCGACCGGATGGCTCCAGATGCCGGCAGGGCCTGCGCCATCCGCGGAAGTCGGAAGGCGAACTTGGGGAGCCATGGAAAAACGGACGTTAAATACCGTGATATAGTAACAAGAGGTCATCATTAACAACAATAATGACAATAGATGATAATAATACATCTGAGAATACTTAAAATGTCATAAAATATCTGAAATCATGGTCGCTTTCATTTTTGTTCACCTTTCCTACCTGTTTTTTTTAACATATGTTATTCAAATCATATTATATATATATATAATCATTCGGTAAAAAAAATGTCTTGGGCTATTCGGGGATGTTTCCGCCTCTACAACAAACCATCATTTATTGTGATTGGTCGGCTCCTGTGGTCGCCGGAAGTTCTGTGTTTCTGTCCTCCCTTGCAGTCTTTAATATAGTTAGAAAGGCCATGGATAGCTATGGAGTTAGTTAAATAGAAACCGTAGTATGTACATGGATTGTGGATTAAAGTAAATGGATTTGAATGGTGAATAGTTCGTGGATTTACAATCCACAAAGTAGCTAATCCCATGGCCCATCTAATTAGATTTAACCACCAGAAGTAGTGGTTTTGAACAGCAAGCAAAATATGGGATTTCACCATGAAGAATACGATGGATTCACCCAAGAAAAGTTGAGATTCAACAAGCCAACAACAGGTTTCCTAACTATGGAAAGCTCAGTTGAAACAACCAAACCAACAGACAAACCACACTCTAAGTTGGATGTCCTTTCGGGGAAAACACGTGCAGGCACCCAAAGTCCCACAAAGGTTTTCATCAGGGGCAAGCGTAAGCTCAAGCTCAAGGGCCCTTTGGCCAAGTTGATCCAACAGCGGCGGTGAGCAGCATGGAGTTGTGACCTGGCCAGGGCTTCCAAGTAAGTTGTCAGCGACAAATTCACATTGGAGGAAAAGAGTTGGTCAAAAACAAGCAGTGTTGCTTGCAACCATTTGCTTCATTTCTGCTGTAAATGAATCCGTTCAGCCAGTAGTTGTCGGCACGAAAAGTTTCAGTCAGCTGTTGTACATGGAAAAATTGCATTGCATTCATCGGCAGGAAAATTCCAGTCTGCCGGGTATATGTAAAAAGTGTATTTTGCAAACTGTTGTTTGTAAGGTTAAGGATGGGCACTATTCCAATCCATCCATCGCTTGCGGATGGGAATTATTCCAGTCCATCCATTGTTCCAGATCTGTCAGCGCCAACCGTGCTGGTATTGATCCATCTCGGCAATTTCCTTCTCACGTCTTTCTTCGCATTCCTTGCAGACATACATAGTGATGGGTCGTGCATGCATCAGTGTGTCGCAATCATCGAAGAGGTGGAAGCGATATGCCTTGTTGAGAGCGTAGACCTCTCTGCGGAACTCGATCTCGTGATCATGGAGCTCACGCATGTTTGCATTGGCTTGATTTGCTCGATCCAGAGAATCTTGAACTTGGTAAATCTGTCGTTCCAGTTCAATCACTTCTTGAATCTTTGCCGTCAAGGTTTGTTCAACATCTTGAAGTCGTACTTTGAGAGTTTTGAGTTCACTTAAGAACTTGTCGGCATCCTCCTTGTTTGTGTCGCTTGTATCTTTCATCACCTGTGCATAGTTTTCCAGTGTTTCAATCTCCCTTTTGAAGCTGTCTTCCAGTCTCGCCTTGTCTTCTTGTTCAAGGTGTAGCTGGTAGGACATGTGAGACATCTCCTCATACTCGATCTCGCATTGAACGCTCTTGTTGCGCTTGGCGAGGTGGAAGGCCACGCGCTTTGGTTCCTGTCGGAGAATCTTCGGAAATCCAAGCAGCATCCAAATACAAAAACATCCAGTGAGGAAAGACATCATCATAGTCACAAATAGGCGCATTGCATCATCGGACCATGAGGCTTCATCGGAGGAAAAACCAGTGACCGGCATGATGTGAGAAATGAAAATCAAATGAGCTAAACCACCTATCTTGCTAGCAGCTTTTGAGAGGGCAAACTTGCGGGCATTTGCTTCTCTTTGTTGTTGAGTTTTCTTCTTTGCAGCAACAAAATCTTCATCCGCTTGCAATTTGAACATGTGAGTTCTAAGGCGGTCAGTGAGCAACTGACGTGCTGAGGGTTTGGTCATGCCATCAGCATACTGTGCTTCACTTGAAACCCATCGCAAAAGTGTTTGGCACTCTTGCATCTTTTCTTTCACAATCATCACCTCAATCTTGGTTCGTTTGTCACCAGAAAGCTGGGGAACTTCTGCACGAATTGAATCATACAGAGCTTTTGCATCAACCACCAAAGCTGTTTTGCTGATTACCCATTCACCTGGAGATTGCAGAGTGTAGTCAGCAGTGAGACATCCTTGGATCAGTGTTCGGGTATATTCCAAACTATCCATTGCAGCTGCGCATGCTTGAGATTCAGCGTTCAAAGAGCTTCGGGACACCCTGGGCAAACGAAAACTTCTCCAATCCAAAATGATGTAATTTGTGGTTTCACCATCCAGGATTTCTTTCGGAGCAAGCATGAGAAGGTAACCACCTTGGCTGTGGCCTTCACGTCGAATTCCCCATGAGGCATCGCTCATTGCAACCAAAACCATATTTGAAATCTCACCTAAAGGACGAAATTGGAGTCCAACATCGTTGTTGACCTTGGAGAATTTCAGAGCTTTGTTTGCATCACGCAAGTCTTCTGTTGTAGCAGCTGTGATCTGACCACTGAGGAGAGAAACTGTTGCACCAAGTTGCGGGGCTGTTTGCGTGCTGGGCCATTGAAGCGCACCAAGCACCGCTCGGAGAGCACTAACCTCATTTTGTGTGGCCATTGCTGAGTCTCGACGCTTCGGGTCGATGGTGATCGGCTTGATCTTGCTAAAGTAGTCAGGCTGTCCAAGTTGATAACCAAAGGAGGTTTTCACAAACGAACATCCACAAAAATCAAGCTTCTCACGTTCATCAATGTGAGTCCAGTGTTTGAAATTGAACTTTTCACGCAACAACTTCTTGGCTGAATTGTAGCAGGCATTGTGAGGGTCGCCACTAATCAGCATGTCATCTACGTGTAATCCAACCAAACAACATAAATTTCCTTCAGCATCATGCAGTCTGAACAAACAACCATCCAGTTTGTGCTGGGTGAATCCAACTTCTTCCAGTCGTCGTCTGGCGACTTGGTACCAGGCTCTTGGAGCATCTGCTTGGCCATAGATGGGCTTGAGGAGGCGCATCAAGGAGTTGGGTTTGATGTTCAGCAGCGTGCAAGCATCTCTGGGGAGTTTGCACCATAGTTCACGGGCTTGTTGGTCTCCCTGCAGAAAGGCTGTAGCCACATCGGCACATAGAAACTCCCATTGGTTCAAAACACCAATGGACAGCAGTACCTGTCTTGACGTTCTGTTCAAGGTTGGAGAGCTTGTCTCAAGGCTACCAGATAGCAAGTCGGGATCGGAATATCCCTGTAGCACAAGTCTAGCTTTGGCTTTTGTGCCACCTTTACCATCATCTGCCCATTTGAGAACAAAACGTGCTTTCAAAATGCGGCTTTCTGATGCTTTCTCAGGCTCAAGTTCAAGTTGCCAAACTCCATTCTCAAAAATTGATTGCAGCTCGGCCTTCTTTGCTGTCATGAAGGTGAGGCGGTCTTCAACTGTCATGCGGGATTCTTTCAAATCAGCCTCGTTGTCCTTCTTCTTTTTCAAAGGGCGAGTTGCAGCCATCCAGACTTCAGAGGGTGAGTTTTCCATGGAGCTGGAAGTGGACTTACTGATCTTCTTCTTGAGATTTATGTATGGCATCTTGAGCTTTTGGGCAGCTTCTTTGGTGAGTGGAAACAACGTTTTTCCAAAGAAACCATCCTTGCTAATCTTTCGCTCGGCAGCAGCAACAGAGTCAACCATCATAGTTGAGGCACCTTCACGCATTGTGATTTTCAGGTCTTGCAAGTCTCCCAACTTAATGGGGACATTTTTGATGGCATCGGCAGTTGGTCTCCATGAGGAGTCACGTGCAATGACATGATTTCGGACCAGGAAACCTTCTTCAACTGACCAAAAGTCTTGGGTCTTGCCAAGGACAAAGGAGTTGGAGACTTCATCATAGGTCCAACCATCAGGCAACATGTCACCTGCAAACTTGTTGTGCTCACCATTGGAGCTGTAGAAACCAACTTCAACACTGTTGTAGATCCTTTGGCGTTTCTGCTCAGAGTCATTCTTTGGTTCATCCAAGGGTCTTCTCTGACGCTGGAAGTTTCTGAGCCAGGCCATTTCTCCTTGATCCATGTTGCGGCGTCTTTGTTGGAAATTGGTGTTGCCACTGTCAGCAGGCAAAGTGTTAACTGCTGCAGCTGGCTGGTCATCGTTGGCAGGCAAAGTGTTAACTGCCACGTTCGGACCATCTTCAACTTCAGAATCATCGCTTGGAACAGGAGGTAGATCTTCATCTGCCGGCATCTCATTCTGCGGAATTGCAGTGGTGTTGGCATCATTGTTGTTGGTGTTGGGCTCATCATTGTCGGCAATCACTGTCTCGGCAGGAGTTGTTGGAGCATAGGAAAATGGAGAGTCAGGAGGTTGTTCAAGTTGATCGATTTGGCGATCCATTTGCTCGATTGCATCATGGAACTCATCAGCATCAGCTGGGCTATCCAAGATCTCAACATCATGTTCCGTTGCAGCATCATCAGCAATCGGTCCAGGAGATTCTGGTGGAGCTGGGTCATGCAGTTGAAGTTGATGTGGAGGAGTGCCATGTTTGCGCTGTTTGCGGTTGTCGTCCAAGTCAAAGTCAGCATCATCTTCATCCAACTCATCAATTGACCTCTTGTTAGTTTTGTGAAGGTCAATCAGGCGGACAACTCGTCGCTGTCGTACTTGGCGCATGGCATCCACAGGAGAAGACATTCGACCTTCAGCATCAACCAAACGTTTCACATGGTGTTTTCCAGCCCGAATCAGCACTGTTCCATGAGCAAGCCAGTATGTGTCAACATTGCCAGTGTCGGGGTCAAGTTGAACTGCGACCACAACGGCAGGACCTTTCCACTTGATGGTGTGGAAGCGATCCGTTGACTCACGCCAGTAGAGGCATCTTTCGCCAGCGACCAGTTCTTCATCTTGGCCACGATACTGACGCAGCAAGGCTCTTCGCAATCGGACATCAACATCGGCTTTGGCACATGCTTGTTGGGCTTGAGATCGGCACTTAAGGATCTCCTGAAGGTGTTGACCTTCAGACAGCTGTGGAGGCTTCTTGCGCTCTTCAGACATCAGTCCAGGAACAGCAGGCTGTCGACCCATTGCAAGTTGTGTGGGTGTAAAGCCGTTCACAAAGGTGTGCTCGTTGAGGGAAGGCACAACCCAGTTGAGAGCTTCATGCAGGGCATCCACTCCAGCGATCTCATTGTCATCCATGTAGATTTGAACAGCACGCCGTAGCAGTTGATGTCGTCTTTCAACAACGCTCGTTCTTGTATGAACTTGTCCAGGAGAAATCTTGAGCTCAATGTCATGGTTCTCTGCCCAGGTTGCAAATGCATCGGATCCCCATCCAGCATATTCATCAACTTTGAGTTGTTGCATCGGACCATGGAACCTAATCCAGGAACGTTCCAACGCTTTGATCAGTGAGGGGGACTTTTCATCGGACACAATGCGGGCAGCCATGTATCGAGTGCATTCATCAACCATTGAAAGAATTGCCACACGTTTCTTCTTGTCAAGTTCAATCCACATTACATCAGCTTGAACCACTTGGTTGAAGTTCTCAGCACGTTCAACTGAGGCAGGGGATACACCCTTCTTGATGCCGTAGTTTTGGCAATGGGGGCAGTGCAGAGATTGGATTGCCTCTCTGACCTTCTCACTCACTTGCTTGCCTTCAAGCAGCTTCAGCAGCACTTCTTTTCGAGGATGGCCCAAGTTTCTGTGAAGACGGTGGGCAACTCGAGCTGCATGAGATCCATGCGCCGTAGCCAATTGTCGCAAAGTGCCAGTTTCAGCATCATCTACTGCATAGATCTGTTGAGTGAGATCCTCGTCATCCATGATGGCTTTCGCCAGATGCTTTGCCAAAACAACGCCATAGTTTTCAGCTTCTCGGCATCGTTGACCACCACCAGGCATAGAACCTTCTAAGGGGCAGTGGGTGTGATCACCTTGACATCGGCGGTTCATGAGCTTGTACATGGACATCTTGGTTGTTTGGATACGTGTGGATTTCTTGATTGGCTCCTGAAATCCATCATCATTGATTGTTGTGGCACCGTACTCGCACTGATCAAACAAGGCAGCATAGCCAGGAAGAGTGGAAAAGGCTTTGGTCTTCCAGGCACGGCTTCTCTCAGGATGCTCAATGTGAGCGTGTCGACCTGCTCGTACCTGTTTCCAGTAGGCCTTGTGACACATGGACAAGTGGGTTCCATGGTCAATCTCACGTCGTTCTTCCAAGTCAGCGGCATCAGCAGCACATTTGATGTTGATGTTTTGCATTGGTGACCACAACGTGCACTTTGGGGACATGAAAATTTCATCAGGCTCATCGGTGTCGATCTTGTGGAGAAATGCTCTGCGGTGTGTGCTGAGTGTAAAATCCCAGCCTTCATTCAAACCAAAACGTTCAACATGAGCACCAAGCTTTGAGACTTCGGTCGAGAGGCGACCTGCTCCAACGTAGACTTCCCAAACAACTGGTGTTTTGGCTCGAGATCCATCTCTGGCCATGTGAATCATACCTGAGACTTGGTTGTGCACTTCAGCGGCTTGTTGATTGCACATGTTCTCAAGTTTCTTCACCGTGCATTCAGGCAAGGAAATTGCTTCTGGGAAATCATCATCATCGGCTTGGAGAATTTCATCACTCATGTTGGGTTCTTTGGCATTGGTTTGCATGAAGTTCTGCACCACTTCGGTCATTTGGGCATAGCGACTTTCAGCATGCATGTCTTTCAGAAAGCTAGCCATAGTTTCAACCTGATCGTGATCATCATCTTCACTGATGAGGTCGAACTGAACATCCATGAGTTCTGAGCCATGTTTGACTCCATCAGCCAGTTTCAACAGCATTGCACCACCTTTTCCGCGGCGGATTTCTTGCCAGTCACCACCCAGTAGGCTCATCCTTTTGCCACCAAAATCAACCACAGCATTCAGCATTTCCAGAATTGGGCGACCTAGCAGCATAGGAGTGGCACCGAAGATCACAAAACATTGAATGCGACCAACCTTGTCACCTAGCTTTGCAGGCAATTGCACCATCCAACGGCTGACACTTTCACCATCACCTCCAAACTTGAAGCTTTTGTCGCAACGTTTGAAGTGCAAGTGTTTCACATCCATTCCAATCAATTCCAGCCATTTCAGATACCTCAGCACGTATTCAGAACCAGCTAAAAATGTTGAAGCACCACCATCCTGTATGCAAGCATCAGGTTCTACGGTAACCCAACTATTGCTGTCGGAAATCACATGCTGAGCCATTCCAACGAAATTTGCACTGGAGTCAGCAGGACGCTTCTTGCTCGGTGAAGTGCTAGAGCTCTTGGTGGGGCAGTTGGCGGCCATGTGACCCAACATTCCACATCGCAAGCACATCATTGAAGACATATGTTCACCCCTTTCTTTGATACTTGACATACTCTTTTTGGGGGAACCTAATCCCTTTGAACCTTTTGATCCCTTTTTGCCTTTTGACTTACCCTTTGACTTCCCTTTTGAACCAGTCCTGGAAGGCGATTGACTTCCGGAGGCTGAGGAGGAAGCAGCAAGTGGAAGTTGTTGACCACCAGCGACTGCAACCACAGGGAAAAATCCACGAGAAACTCGGAGTTGATTCAGCTGACGTTTGCTGTCAGCGTATGCAGCATAGACTCGGTCAAACTCTTCAGTATCAAAAACTTCGTCATTTGCAGGCACGTCTTCAGCTGTTGAGCCATAGTAAGTGGATTGCACATCATCCCATTCCTCTTCTTGCCAGTAGAGTTCGTCCCCATCATAGTCAATTGGGTTGCCATCATCATCATAGGCAGTGTCATCAGGGTATTCTCCATCATCTTCATAGTACACCTCGTCCTCGGCAAAGTGGGCACGGTCAGTTTTCCATCGACCACGCATGTTGTTGAACTTTGCAGGGGAGGGCACTTTGTGATTCTGGCCAAGGGTGAGGTAGAGCGCTTTCTCAACCTTCTCAACTGTTGTTTCTGTTCCTACTGTTGTTTGAATCAGCTGTGTTTGCTCCTTTGTCAGACCAGCTCTGCGCATCAGCAACCATCCAGCAACTTCATCTGGGAGTGTCACCTTGTATTTTGACAACTCTCGCAAGGCTTGTCCAGATTGTGTGCAGTAGTCCAACATTGTCTGATTCATGGTGCGGTAGGTCTTGTAGAAATACTTTTCGAAGGCTTCTGGCATTTCGATCTTTGCATCGTACTGCCACTGCGCGTCTAACCTGTCCAGAATTCTTCCCAGTCCATCGGCCGTTTCTAAATCCTTGACTTCGAGGTCTTCGCATTGACGCCAGGAGGCACCAGTTAAAGTGGGCAAAACTGAAATCCCTACTTCAGACTCTCGTTTTTGAATGGCCATGCGTCTTGCATATAGCTGTATCCGCTTTCGCCATTCTTTGTAACCAGCAGTTGTATTGTCAAACCGTGGTATGAAGGTGTCCTTCGTGAGGGTCTCGGCATTGTCACTAGTTCCAGTGGCCATGGCTTTCAGCAACGGTTTGGATCACTTAAGATCCCCGGAGCACTTAAGCTCCGCTACCAATATGGAAAGCTCAGTTGAAACAACCAAACCAACAGACAAACCACACTCTAAGTTGGATGTCCTTTCGGGGAAAACACGTGCAGGCACCCAAAGTCCCACAAAGGTTTTCATCAGGGGCAAGCGTAAGCTCAAGCTCAAGGGCCCTTTGGCCAAGTTGATCCAACAGCGGCGGTGAGCAGCATGGAGTTGTGACCTGGCCAGGGCTTCCAAGTAAGTTGTCAGCGACAAATTCACACTAACCATTTTTGTTGGTTTTTTACGGTAAAACCAACAAAAATCACCCATGTTTCATTGCTAAATCTACCCCAAGTCCTCGTATTCCCGATATGTTTCTAGGATCGTAAAACATTGGGGCTTGAGATGATAAAAAACATGGTGAAGTCCTCTAAAATCACGATGTTTCATGGTGAAAACCACCATTTTTCATGTTGAAATCGACCATCTTTGGATTCCACAACCGCCTTGTCGTGTCCCCCGGTGTCACCTCCCGTCCCATGGCCATCGGCAGCGGCTCAGCCACCGGCAACGGTGCCGGGACTTGGGGCGTGGGCAGCGCCGCCTGCACCGGGGACCAAGGAGGAATGGATCTCTCTCGAGGCTTCAGGCGGTGAAGTTTTCTGAAGTGAATTTTCAGATGGATTTTCTAAGTGGATTTTCAATTTCTTCGACGTGTGCATGTCAAATGGATTGGTGAATGTGATTTCAAGCGGCTTTAAACTGGTGTTAAGTCGTTCAAGCATGGGTAATTTATATGTTTGAACTGGGGAGTTGAACGCCGCCAGAAGTGGATTTCAAACAGCAACAGTGGAGGTTGAATCAATCAACCTGTGGATCTGATCAGCCATGGGGATGTGGGGATGGCGCTGAGGATGGAAGACTAGATGGATGGTCAGCCCTTTAAGGGGCCTGAAATCCGGTTCCACGATGGTATTTTACCATATGTTCAACTGCCATTCCAGGATCCGACTTATTGGAGGTACCTACCATATATAAGGCCTATATAAGGGAATATCCCCACAAAATATGGCCTCAAAAATGGTACAGTACCTCCAATAAATCGGATCCTGGAATTCCCATTGATATTTTCCCCATGAGATTACCACGGCTACGGGTCGCTGAACTCTGTAAGCCACTCCAGAGTTCTCCCTCATGGCATGACCTCCTGAAAATTCTCATGATTGGCCCGTTCAGAAAATATTGATTGAAACAGGTATAGTATAACATAGTATAACCTCATCATAATATATATATAGTAATCACCAATCATCTACCCTCTGGTAAACATACAAAAAACTATGGAAAATCACCATTTTTATGGGAAAACTCACTATGTCAATGGCCATGTTCAATAGCTATTTTGACATAACCAGAGGGTATCAATGACATCCAATAGAAGTCTCGTGGCGAAATGGTGAGTGAACTCACTCCATTTCTTGAGGAAAAACAGTGCCACATTCGCCAATGTGGGCCCCCCCAGTTATGTGATGTGAACGTTGGTTTATATATAAGCCCCAGTAACTAGTTCGTTATAACATGTTATTTGCGTACCATAAACCATAGTGAAATTGGAGTTATGTGCACCAACTTAGCGATCGAACGGGGGCCCCACATTCTTGAGGGCCCCTCATTCGTAATCAAACATGGCAATGGACTCCATGGACGATGACTTATTCAAAAAGAATATTTTCCCAGCTACCCTCTGGTTATGACTAACATAGCCATGGAAAATCATCATTTTTAAGAACGGTAAACCATCTATTTCTATGGGCCATCTATACCATGGCTATGTTAAATAACCAGAGGCTATTTGAAAATTTAAACCAACGTTTTTTTTTGTGGAGTTTCCAGCTACATCTACGTTTGATGACACCGGAGGGAGAACATCCCGACTTTTTGATCCCAGTATGCCAATTCTGTACCAAGAAAAAAACATTGGTTTTGGTTAAACCTCTTCGTTATAGAAATTTATTGTATAATACTGGGAACAATTTGTATTGGATAAAATTCTATCCCAATATTTTTTTGTACATTGTTATATATCACCAGTTTCTATGAAAGTTTAACCAAACATGCGTGGTACCCATGGGTACCAGTTTTCATCCCATGAATGACTGTGACGACTGGTATTGAAACAACCATGGTGACGACTGGGGAGCCCTCATTTTAGGACACCTCCCTTTTTTTCACCACACTATCTAATATATCCATATATATATATCCAATATACAAAATAGTTATGGTGATATCATATGCAAGTTATCTTAATGATTACAATTTTCTATCTGTTACATCACCATCCTATGATGAAATCCCATCGCCTCCTCCTTCTTCTCCCTGCGCCAGCGGTTCCGCTTCGTGATCTTCGTGGACGAAGCATCTCTCGGACGGTCAGGCGAGTCGGGCACCGCCTTTTTGGAGGGGCAATTGGTTCGTGTCCCTATGAAGTGTTACTATTGAAGCTGGTTGGTGGTATACCTACCCCTCTGAAAAATATGAAAGTCAGAGGGGATGATTATTCCTGATTATTCCCAACTGAATGGAAAATCATATCGCGGACGACTTCAGTTGACTGCAATGCACGGCCGCAGGCAGTGCAGTTGCCGCCAAGGTTCGAAGGTCAGATGGGACGAGCCAGGTCAGATGCCTTGCGCAACTTGTGCTGACCGGCGATTGAAAGGCAGCCACTCGCTAGATTGCCCTGGGTGGCAACTGTTGTACAAATTGCCATGCCATCCGCAGGCAAAAACAATCCTGACTCAGGCTTTCGAATGCCTTTCAGAAGAAATTGCTCCAAGCCAAGGATTCGACACCCCTTGGTAAACACAACCCGAACAATTTGAACCATAGACGCCAAAGTAGGACGCAACAACAAGGCATCATATGGTCTCAAATCCCATTGCATACGACTTGGATTCCAAAATGGAAAAGATAAATGACACCCTCGTATACACCAAACTGTGAGCTCTACAAAACTAATTGGCACGAAAATGTCTGCTTGCAACTCAAGCTGAAACAAGTGCTCAAAAATGGACAAAACGAATTCAAAAGGAAACTTCAACTGTACATCTTGCGCTTTGAACTGTGACTGCCAATCAATTGGCATTGCATCTGAAATGGGCAAAACGATACCTAAATTGGGCCAGTCAAATGACTCACTCACCGTCAGATCTATCACCTCAGCATCTTGGAGCCTGACATCAGCAACAAGGAAATAGAACTGGCGAATGCTTCTGATCCGTTCAGCCCACAAGGCAAAGTGTTGTTGTGCTCCATGTTTCAGTTGGTGGTATTCATCTGAGCGTGATGCATTGGTGCGCACAGCAAGCTCATCTGCCACATTGTTCCAGACTGCGATCCATTCCTCCAGTGTTGTGGTGCACAACGTAAGATCCAAGTGAGATGGAATCCAACTAACCTGAAAGAGGCCGTCCGGCAAGTCAATCAAAAGGTCAGCAAGTTGGCGCCAAAGGTCATGGTTTTCGCACAAAGAAGCATGAACATGCCATTGGCCATCCAAGAGGGCTTTGATGCCATCTACGGTATACTTGGAGTCGCTCCAAAGGTGCACTGCCACTTGATAGTGAGATGCCCACTTGATCGCAGCCAAAGCACCGCAGAGCTCAGCTCGTGAGATCGATTGCACCAGTCCATGTAGGTGCCCAGTGCCAATGATGCAGCCAGTAGTTGCATTGACTAAAGACCAAGCCCCTACCCCAACATATTTGGGATTATCAGAAAAAAAGGAACCATCAGAAAACAAGTTTTGAACCCCCTCTCCTGGCGTAGAGTGAAAGCAGCCAGTGTTGTCCTCGATGTGCAAGAGGTAGGCTTTAAAGTCCAGCTCAAAGCGACATCTCGGCACCAATAAATGGTGTACCATACAGTCTGGAAGCTCATTGAGCCAGTCAAATGTTTCCTGCATCTGTGCACGGACAGCATCAAACATTGGGCATCGAAACCAATGAGGCAATGTGTTTGGGACCAGGCATCTAGAGCAAATCGAAGTCTTGGTTGGGTCAAACTTGGCATGGCTCCAATCGGAAATAAAAGCACCTGATTGCAAAGCCATAGTGCGTCCCAATTCCTGTGGAGTCATGTGACTCCGATCCAGCAATGTCAGTTCCTTGCACAGGCCAGCAAGGTCATGCATGGTTCGGCGGTGTGTCACCTGGTGTGCTACATATTGTAGCCATGCATCATGCAGCAACAACTCAAGAGCGGCATTGGGGAGCTGGAGCAAGTTGTGGATAAAACCATCATGGTCAGTGAACAAAGGTGGCATGCCAATGGACCAACCAAGCATGCTGAAAAGATCAACTATCTTGTAGAATGGCCCAGTCAACTTCCTACCTGTAAAGTGTGCCATGAAGGTTCGCCATTGCACCAGCAGATCAGGTGTTTTGTCGCAGATTCGTCTGAAATCAAAAACACAATGACGCAAATGGTAAAAACCTGGATCGGCAGTGGCTGGTTGCGACAATGACAATCGCAGCATGGGGTTTGAGCCACCGATCTTCAATCCAAGCGCTGCCACGGCCTTCTTGCGAAGTTGGTGGATATGTCCATCTGCAAAGACGCATCCCAGAGCTCCATGTAGAGCCGATGCCCAGAAGACCATTGGGATGCACATCAACTTTTGCACCAATGGCGCTTTGGAGATGCGCAGTCGTGTCCAGCGCCTTTCCAAACTGGCTCCACGTGCCAAAAAGACTCTGACTCTCGTTGAGGAGCAAAGTGTCAATGATCCCCCCAACTCTGAAACATCTTCTACAATTCGCAGTCCAAGTGTTGATATCAACGCTCGTGTCTGGGCTAGTGTGCTCCAAGCATACGACTTTCCAATATCTATCTCAAGACCCCAAAGATCCAGAAAAGACCGTAATGAAAAGAAGGCCCAAACCAAGTGAAGTGCAGACAAGGACATCATGGAGATGTTATCCACAAAAGACAGCGTCCTGGTCAAAGGTGCAAATTGTGCCTGGTACACATGGAGCGCCCAGTCAAGAATTGCCATTGCCGGCACGCTCAAGGGATCACCTTCTGCAAAACCAATGTCAGAGGTCAATGCGGCGCTTAGGTGGTTGTGCACCTGAAAGCGTCTGGTGAAGCATGTAAGAAACCTGTGCCATGGCTGCAGGATTCGTTCAGGTATCCCCAGATGTCGTGCCAGTGCAAACCATTGTGGTCGGCGTATATGGTTAAATGCCTTGACAAAATCCACTGCAAGGCCAGACAATGCTTCCCCTGACGCAAGAGAAAGTTCCACACTGGCTTGGATTTGCAGCCATGATTGCATGGCTTCTCGCCCGGGCAAAAAACCAAAAGCATCTGAGTGAACAAAGCTCTCGATCATCCGCAAGAGCTGTCTGGAACGAAGTGAACCCCAGCAGCGATAGATGATACTGAAGAGAACGATGGGCCGATAAGACCCAGCTTCATGAGCTTCACTGTGCTTGGCAAGCGCCAAAACAATGCCTTCTGTCAATTGCTGTGGCCAAGCTTGGCCTTCAAGTTCAATGCGCATCAAAAACTGAAGTAAATTTTGGACATGAGCAGGTGACATGTACAAAAGATCCTGCTTGGCATATCCATCTGCGCCTCTGGCGGCGGTTGGCTTGAAACGTTTCACAGTCCGCATCCACTGAGCCGGTGTGATGTCCGGCAAAACGAATTCAAAACTGGGCATGTAGCCTTGGATGAAGTTGATAATGCGAGTCCAGTGGTCTGGATCTACTGCATGAAGTTGTTGCCAGCGTGGCTTCCAGAGTGCCATTAGCTTTTCATGTACTTCTGCATCCGAGCTGGTGTGGGAACAAAGTGTGATGACATCTCCAACTTCTAACTCAGGCCATTGGCTAAAAACCAGCATTTCATCTTGATATCCAGCAACGGAAAGCCCACAACCGTTGTGATACCACGCCGGTCTTTCTAAAGGAAAAACTGGGGCGTCTAACAGGACTGCTTTGGAGCCAGGTCTAACAGCAAGGACGGTGAAGTCCTTGGAAGTCCAAAGGCTATCAATTTGGTCTGGTGCTGGATCGCGAAGGTCCTTGAAGACGGCCGCATGAGATTTGTCATACTTCGCCTGGATCAGTCGATTCTTCTGTGAGAGATGCCACGTTTCAAAAGCTCGAAATGCATGGTGAAAAGCATCAAAAATCATGGAAGCCAAAACAGCATCTGGTGGATGAGGGGGAAGTGGCCCTGTAACTGGTTGAAATTCTTGTTGATCCCACCAGTCAATGAAGTTCGGCTGAAACCCTGCAGCTTTTCGTATTGAAGTCCATAAAGCAGCTCTGTAATGGAGTGCTTCTTGATGTTGTTTTCCTGCCTTGATCGAGTGGCAGTAGGACTGCAATCGCCGAAGCTGTCTGAACCATTGCAAGCAGGCAGTTCCAACCAAATCAAGTTCCAACCAAATCATGTTTCAATTCCACTTCACCTGGACGACTAGCTTTGCAAGAGCGCGGGTGCAGCTGTTGCTTTTCAGGTTTGAGACGCTGTGATCTGCCCCGCTGTGCCACTGGGAGTGAACCCCCGAAGGGCCCAACAAAGCCAGCAAGTGTAGTTTCCATGCTACGTGAAAACTTGGCCATGAAGTCTGTAGCATCATCTGATTCCACCATGTTGCAACTCCAGCAATGTTCATGCCATTGATCAACTTCAACTTGATCCCATGAAATCTCTTGTGGTCTGGGCCATGTCAAAACGGAGGCTGGTGCTTCTGAAATTGCAAGCGTCACTGAAACCGAACTGTGATCTGCAAAGAGGTCTTCAATGTGAACTTCATTGCAGAGTGTCTGAGCCGCCGGCGACAGCCAGATCAAGTCTCGTTCAGTGGCCCCTTTGCAGGTAGGTTGCCATTGGTGGCCCCATCGCATGCTGGCCATGTCTTGAGCAGATTGCCACCCAGCCGCACGCCAGAGGTGGAAGTGCTCCAACTCGTGGGGACTAAAGTTGAAGTCCCCACAAATTGCAACCAATCCAGAATGTCCATAAATGAAGGTCTTGGTGAGAAACGCCAGAATGTCATTCATCAAAGAGGTTGCTTGGGGCCATGTGGGCCCACGTGGAAGACCATAGAGGGATACCACTGTGACACTGTGGTGCCCAATCTGATGTTGTGTTGCCAAGACTCTTCCTGAGTTCCAAAGATCAGGAGGCCAATCGATTCGCAGTTGTTTGGAACCAAAATCAGAGGTGCAGGCGACACCTGTCCATGTGCCCGCCCAGTCTGAGCGGCTTCTCAAAGGTGCTGGGGCGCTGAAGTATGTTCTCAGCAAGCGGTTGTCCTGACGAGCCGCAAACTTCAGTGCCTTACTTGAAGAAACTTGAGTGAAGGCAGAAAGTTGGGTTTCTGCATAAGTCCAAATGCCAGCCCCTTGAGATACAGCCAGAGCTTCCTTGGAACGTAGGCCCCCAGGGTTGGTGGTGCCAATGACAAGATCATGGTATGGCCCAGGATGTTGGGCCTCCCCAAAACGGTGGCCTGAACTCCATATACTGTGAAAAGCACCATCTTGTTGGGCTGGCGCATTCCAGATTCCAATTTTTGCCTGGCTGGCCCCCGACCGAAATTCGCAGTCATCCTTGGATGCTGCGCTGGGAACGTACTGGTCGGCAAGGGGCACTTGCAGGGCCGAACTCATGGCAAAGTGCCAGAAAAAGATGAGAAGCTGCAAACATAGAGTAAAGAAGCTAGGGCGTTTCAATCTGCAAAACCCACATGCAGACTGCGCCCGGTATAGTCATTCACTCCTGTGCTTCTTGTTGCTGAACAGGGCTTCCAAACGATCGAAACGTGTGTCAAGATCGTGAGACACTTCCGCTTTGTGGTTCTGCAATGCTGAGTGTACAGCCTGTCCCACCTGTTCCGACACCCCTTTGATTTCCTGATGCAGCCCTTGGAGTTCAGCTTGATGGGTATTCAAAGTGTATTGAATGCCCTGGATTGAGGTCTCAGCCAGTTGAGCTTGCTGGTGAAGATTGGTGAACCATCCTGAGAACTGAAGTTGTTGAGCTTGCATCTCCCCCAGTGAGGTCTCAAGCTTGGCAAACCTCTGGAGACTGTCAGCCTTGTGCTCGGCAAACCCATCTGGCTCTTGGTGCTTGGCATCCAATTGAAGTTCGGCAAACTTCTGATCCATGGCTGCCGCAAGCTCATCCTTCAAGTTGCCAGTGACCTCCTTGAGTTGGCTCTTACCTTGATTTGGGTTCTTGGGCATCGCAATGGGCTTCCATGGGTCACGTCCAGGAAGCATCCAAGGATCGCCTGCAGGTGCTGCAGTTGAGGCTGAGGAAGGAGCCGATGCTTCAGCCCGCAGGTGCTGTTGGGTCTTGGCCGATGCCACCAATTTGGGTGGTGGAACTGGTTTGCCCTCACGGGTAATCTCAGTGATCAGGATTTCTTTCCCAAAGCCAGTGATGATATCACTTGGTGGTGGGGTAGCGGCCCCAACTTGCCAAGACATAGCATCGGCACTGCCTTTGCCAGGCTGGAGGGGTTTGACGGCCCAGTCATGATCTTTGAGGAGCTTAATCACACCACCTCGTTGAAGTCCATGTGGCAAAGGAAAGAGTTGGAAGATGCGTTGCACTTGGGCATTGACCCATGTGGCGTCAGGCTTGATCTGCTTGAAGGTCTGCTCTTCATATTCAGCCATGACCCGAATGCCATACTTGCGCTTCATTCGAACAAGTCCAAGGGCATGAATGTTGGTACGGCATGTGTGAATGGCTTCATCATAGGTTCGAGCTGATAGCCAAATCACCCGATATCGTTCATCATGGCCTTTGGTGACAGCTGATCTTGGTTCAAAGTAAATGCCTGGAGTACCACTCTGCAGGAGCGTGTCCAAGATGGACTCAGGTATGCGCAAGAAGACACCGAAGATCTGTGCCTCAGATGCTGAGATCTTGCCCCCCTCAAGCTTGGTAAAAGTCCGAGACCATATTTCGAGTAGTATGGAGTCAAGCTCTTCATCAACGGCAGCATGGGACTTTGGGCAGTCAGAGCCACAGTCTTTGCCTGGGCAAAGCTGGAGAAGAGGGACAGCTTGGCATAGAGCTCGTACTGGGGATTGTGCCAGGAGTTGCCAATCGCCTTGGTATTCATCTCGAAAGACCTGGACTTTGATGACTTGTGTTGACACCAAAGACGGTTGTTCAGCAGCACCAGGAATGTGACGAGTGAGCTCAATGTCTCCCAAGTTTTTGAGGGCTCCAAAGATGAGAATTGGTTCACCAGTGCCTGTGTACTTGGCCGCAAAGGAGATTTCAGTGAGACAGTGCTCCTCCATGTACTCTTTGGGTGGCCTTTCCGTAGTGAGGATCGCCAATGGTCTTGTACTGATGGATTGTTTTGATTGCATGAAGTGATATGCCTGTGCCAATGTGCAAATGGCAACCCCAGTGGCTTCAGCCTCAACGTCATTGAAAGGGATCTGTTCGACCACATCACCATCAGGATCTTGGAAGCTGGTGTGCGCCAAAACCAGGTGTTCTGGATCAGGGTTGAGTGGCCGAGGAGGTGCCTTGTGCTCCTGTTTTTTCTTCTTTTGCTTGGCCTGGGTCACCTGGGCTCCAAACTTGGTGGCTGCAGTCGCAGCCACATGTCGGGAGAGCTCATCCGGGAGGACCAACCGCATGGAGATGGAAGGGCGGCTCGCTATGGCCTTCAAGTAGGCCCAGCAGTTCTTGGCTTCAAAGGCTTCTTTGATAGAGGACACACCCACTTTCAAGGTGACTTGTTGTACTCGCTCAGGAACTGCTTCAGCGGGAACTCCATGTTGTTGAAGTAGTGTGGCCAACTTGGTCTGCAAATCCATGGGCAGATTGGGGCCACCAGCAAAAATGGTACCACCCGTTTGCCCTGCAAGTAGCCAGGTGTGAAGCTCTTGAAGATCAAAGTGTGCATCCACAGTGGTAAGGCATAAGTCCAACGCCATGTGCACAAGTGCAATGGTACCACATGTGAATGGCTGGGCTTGCAAAAGTCCGTGACCCATGCATAGACCGAGGAAATCCAAATCCAGTGCATAGCAAAGCTTCTGAGCCACCTGAACAAAAATGGGAAGCTGATGACCCTGTCGAAGTCCATCGTATAGGGTCCAGGTAAGTCCACGCTTCCTGTCATCTGGGCGACCAGTCAACAAAAACCAATGGCAGTCCAGCTCACAAATGACATAGACATGCTCGTTGGACGCATTGTAGCTGATTTGCCATGATTGCCGGACTGCTTCATGTAGTTGGAGTTGAAGGAGCTGGTTGGCTCGAAATGGATATGTCACCCAGGGCTCAGGACAGGCAAACTCCTTCCCAAAGCATGATGCCAGTGCCTTCATATATGGCCAGATTGTGTGGTCCCCAAGTCCAAGGTCGGTGACAGCAGGTCCACCACCAATGATGGGAACGGCCAAGAAAGGTCGTACTTGCGCACTCTTGCGAAGCTCCACTGTGTATTTGACTCCTGCATGGAGTAGTGTGTCCAGTGGCAAGCGATGTCCATCTTGCTTCACAATTGCATAGTGCCCCCAACCGCACAAAGATCGCTCGGCTGTGGCAAGGTCCATAACCGTAGCAGGCTGGTGGAGGCTCACTGTGATGACTTGTTGTTCATCCTCAATGCCAATCTGGATTTGTCTTGGCTGGTACATCAAAGGAGTGATCCATCTGCGTTTGACTTGGTCAACAAGGCATTGCTGGAAAAACTTGATACAAGTGGATGGGTCGATACCAGTCCAGCCCCATGCATGAAATTGTAGTCCAGCCAGAATGTGAGATTGGACCCACAGCACCTGCAACGGTGCAGCAATCTGGCCCAGCAGGCATAGTGCTGCACGTGGTGGCATTGGAAAGCAAAAATCGCCTGGGACTGTGCACAAAAGAGCTCCTTCAAAAGGATGCAAATGACGACAACGTCCAGTGCATGCTGACACCAATCCAAAACCACGTGCTCCGCCTTGTTGGAGCCGTTGGACACTGAAGGCAAGTCGGCACCCGCATGAGCAAGGCCGTGTGACATGGCCCCAAGAGTGCAAAGCAGTTGGAGCTTTGTCATTGGGTCGAAGGATGCGTTGATCTGGTCCAAAACTAGGATCCATGTAGATGGCCATCTCTGCCTCATCCCATTGAAGTTGTTGTTCATCAGCAGGCGCCCACATGGCATCAAGTGGCATGATGTCCTGCAAGCTCTGGTACTCCAATGTAGAGGGCCATGAAGGGATGTGGATCGCAGGAAAGTCTTTGGCAATCATGTGGCACCAAAAGCGATTGCGTCTACATGGCCATTGGTGTTGGAGGTCGAAGACAAGCTTGTGGCAAGACATGCTGGCCAAGGCTGCATATCTGTCGATGCACTCCTGTGTCTCCGGAAACTGGGTGACATTGGCAACGCACTCCAGAAGAACTGCATCAGCCTGAAGAAACCAGGCAGTGTCCAAGATGCGATGGATGGTATGGCTGCGCATGTCATCCAATCCACCTTGATCTCCTTGTCTGGAGTAACCTTGGCATGGGAATCCTCCAGTCACCTGGATGAAACACTCCTGTTTCAGCTTAAGAAGCTGCTTCAGGATTTCGGGGTCTGCAACATCTCCATGGAGGATGGGTTGTTCAAAATTGGCACGAAGAGCCATGCATGCCAATTCATTTCGTTCCACAAATGCAGCTGTGGACATGCCTACAATTTTGGAACCAATTGTGAATCCACCCATGCCACTACACAAGTCGTAAATGGCAACTCTCTGGAAGTCAGATTTCTGTGGATGCTTGAAGGCTTCAGTTGTTTCACCAAATGTGCAGGCTGTCAAGTCCTGATCGCCTTTGACAAGGTCGACAAACGTGTAGATGCCCTCGGCAAGCTCGGGAGCATCAAAGATCTCGAAGCACTGCTCAGGAGATATGCCTCGGCACTGGAGTGCGCCACCTCGGATACCTTCAAGTTTGGCCACAATGCAGAAGCGGCTGCTGGGTTCAAGGCCTTTCACAAGAAGGTCCATGGGATTTGACTACGGGGTCTCTACTCTTAGCTGTGTCGGGCTCACCGCTGGAAGGTGTAGAGCCAGAACCTGAATGGAAAGTCATAAAAAATGTTCCAAACCACCAACCAACCAGGAAGGATTGTTAATGGAGTGTTAGTAAAGGATTTTTGAGTAAAGAAATGTTGACATTTTTGTTTAGTTCTATTAGCGATTGTATTTCACTTTCAACGTGCATCTCCACCGTGTTTATGGTTTCAACAATATTCACCACATTCTGCCTGGGGGAACCAAAGCCCGGTGCAAAGATTGGATCAGTCGGCATTCAGTCCAATAAGTCAGGTGACTTTTCAGGCACAAGAGAAAAGGTGTACAGTGTACATGTGTGATATAATCTTCTGCTTAAGCAAGGCTCAAAACACCTGCAAATGGCCATTAAAAAAACCAGTCCGGATACATTTTTTTTCGGGTCTGGGGTAGCCAACTGGCCATCAACCAAATACATCCAACCACGTATGTACCCTCTGGCAACTTATAAATGGCAATTGGAAATCCACTATAAATATGGAGGTTTGAGTGAGATCATGATCTCAAACTAAGTGGGGGAGTTTCCAAGGAGCCACGTTTGATTATCGGAATTTATACCTTTGACCTTTGAAGTTTTGGTCAACATCGTTCTTCAATCCTTTCCTCTGCGCTTCTGGTTGAGATAAACCAAAAATCAACATGCTGTAGTGAAGTGCATCAAGGAATTCGCACTAACCCATGGCGTCACGGCTTTGGGGGGCCGTGTTTAACATGGCATAGAAACACACCCAGATACCAATAAGCGACCAGATACCAATACCGACCTTAATCTACCAGATTACCAGATACAATTGCTTTTTCTCAGGTATCACAGTAGAGTCTATAGTATCAAAATTTCCAGGTATACCAAAAAAAAAATCCATAATCCCTTCCCTGTATTACTAACCCCCCCCAAAGAATAAAAACTAGGGTCCATCTCCAATTTTGGAAAATTTGAGGTTGGCCATTTCAGGGTTTCACACCCTAAGAATAAAAACTAGTCATCCCGGAGTGTTTTTTAGTAGGGTCTGTCTTTTAAGGTCGAAAAAAAAATACATGTATGTGATATTAAGGTGTTTATTTTAATATTAGGGGAAATCTAATCGAAATCCAATTTTTGGCAATATTTCAATTAGATTTTTTAAAAGGAAATCTAATCGATTTTGAGATAGAGCGAAATAGTTTTTTATATTAGGCCTAGGGTTTTAAATTTACTATTAGGGGGAAGCTTCGAAATCCAATTTTTGGCAATATCGTAATTAGAGTTTAAAAGGAAATCTTATCGATTTTGAAATAGAACAAACTAGTTTTTTTTCATATAAGGGTTCTAAATTAAGTATTATGAGGAACCCTAATAATAAATACCCCCTAATAATAAAAACTACCTGAGATGTTTATTATTTGGGGGGGCGGAATTTAGTGTTAGGAAGAGAGGATTAATGGTACATCATGGTGAATAATCCATATAGCCATCATGGTAAATAATAGTAGATAAAACACCAAATATATATATATATTACCCTCTGGTAAACTAACATAACTAACTATGGAAAATCACCATTTTTAATGAAAAACTCATTATAAATGGCCATTTTCAATAGCTATGTTAGTTTACCAGAGGGTAGCCATCACAGTGAATGGTATGTCTCAATGGCATCATAATATATCTACAATCATCTATAATGATATCTACAGATATATTCTCCAGAGATATGCCATCATAATTAACTGTAGATAAATTCAAAAAAGTGGCTAAAACAATGTCATAAAGCCCAGTCATCACCATTTTTTAAGGTGTCAAGATAGGTGGTATGTTCACCATTCCCACATTGTGGTAAAAATGGCATTGTTTTACTCACATTACATAAAAACATCCCATGGAAAATCACCATGTTTGTTGGTTAAATCCCATGAAAAACCACCATTTTTCATAGTTAAATCCCATGAAATCACCAGGTTACCCTCTGGTAAATTAACATAGACCCTGGCAGATAGGGGTTGGAAGACTAGTTTCCATTAGAAATTGGCTATTTTCAGGGTCTATGTTTATTTACCAGAGGGTAATATACATGGCATATCTCTGGAGGTCAACTGGGTGAACCTCCCATTTTTCACGACGGACGGCACCTCCATCAGCGGTCGCGACACGTAAACCACGCGGCCATAGACCTGGGGACCCCTGGGACTGGGAGAGCCGACGCCACGACGCTTTTTCCCGGGTGGGTCCCGGGAAACGTTCATATAATAGTGGTTAATAGTGGTTAATAGTGGTTAATAGATCACATCATATATATATATATATAGATATAGATCTATTAACCACTATTAATCAATATAGATATTTCATCTAACCACAATTCATGCAATGTGGAGACCAGTTTTAAAAGTTGGTTTGTAAAGCCCATGAATACTATAGTTATTTGCGTGCCATAAAAATCCATAAACCATAGTTATTGGAGTTATTTGCACCAACTTAGCTATCGAACGGGGGCCCCACATTGTGGAGTAGCAAACGAATATGTGTTTTCAAAGAAATCCTCACTAAATTATAGGAATATGTTTGAAAATTCCAAATTCTATCTACTTCAGGATGATTGTATTTGTATATCACTTGATTGCAGATTCTGGAAAATCTCCGTTTTTCGTCAAGTCATTTTTGCAAGCCAAGCATATATGATGCCAAATAAATAATCATACGCTATTGTTGTAGGATATCCGCAGTTATATAATGTTATGTCATGGTTATAGACTCAGGATAATCATAATTGCCAGTTAGTGTAATA